AGAGCCGAACAAAGTTTGAGAATGAAAATGACCTTGACCTTCTTTTAAGGTCACATGAGGCAGATATGTCAAACACTTTAAACGACTTCTTCTGAAGAACTGGTAGTTATAAAATCTTAATATTTGGCAGGTGGCTTCCTGGGAAAGAGCCAAACAAAGTTTGCGAATGAAAATGACCTTGACCTACTTTCAAGGTCACAGCGTTCAAATATGTCAAACAGTTCAAACAGCTTCTTCTGAAGAATTAAAAGGCATAAAATTATAATATTTGGCTGGTGACTTCCCGGGATAGAGCTCACCAAAGTTTGCAAATGAAAATGACCTCAACCTACTTTAGAGGTCACAGAGGTCAACAACATTTTAATGGATTTGTTCTTGAGAACTAAAAGGAATGGATTCATAAGATTTGGCTGGTAGCTTTTGGAATAGAGCTTACCAATTTGAGAAGGAAAATGACATTGACCTACTTACAAGGTCACAGGGAAAAATATGTCAAGCAACTTCTGAAGAATCAAAAAGCATGGAATCTTGTAATAATATTTTGCTGGTAGTTTCAACAGATGGAGCCAACAAAGTTTGTGAGGGAAATATTTTTAGTGCAATATAATATTTAATGAGAATATTTTGCTATGACTGCTTAAATATTCAGGTGAGCGATACAGGCCCTCTTGGGCCTCTTGTTTAAGCTATGTCGGGCTCTATCCCAGAAGAACCAGCCAAATAGGAAGTTTCTATACGTTTCAGTTATTCAGAAGAAGTCGTTTAAAGTGTTTGACACAATTGATCCCCGAGACCTTCAAAGTTGGTCAAGGTCATTTTCATTCTCAAACTTTGTCGGCCTCTATCCAAGGAAGCCACCATCCAAATATGAAGGTTCTATACCTTTCAGTTCTTCAGAAGAAGTCCTTTAAAGCGTTTCACATATTTGACCGCTGCGACATTGAAAGTAGGTCAAGGTCATTTTCATTCACGAACTTTGTCTGGCTCTATCCAAGGAAGCAACCAGCCAAATATGAAGATCCTATACCTTTTAGTTCTACAGAAGAAGTCGTTCGGAGTTTGACATTTTTGACCCATGTGGCCTTGAAAGTAGGCCAAAGCCATTATCATTCTCAAAATTTGTCGTGCTCTATCCCAGAAAGCCACCAGCAAAATAGGAAGTTTCTATACGTTTCAGTTCTTCAGAAGAAGTCGTTTGAAGTGCTCGACACATTTGACCCCTAAACCCTGAAAGTAGGTCAAGGTCATTTTCATTCTCAAACTTTGTCGGGCTCTATCCCAGGAAGCCACTAGCCAAATATGAAGATTCTATACCTTTTAGTTCTTCTTCAGAAGTAGTTCGTAGAGTTTGACATATTTGACCCCTGTGACCTTGAAAGTAGGTCAAAGTCATTATCATTCTTAAACTTTGTTGGGCTCTATCCCAGGAAGCCACCAGCCAAATATGAAGATTCTTTACCTTTCAGTTCTTCAGAAGAAGCCGTTAGAAGTGTTTGACACATTTGACCCCTGACCTAAGGTCATTTTCATTCTCAAACTTTGTTGGGCTCAATCCCAGGAAGCCACCGATATGAAGATTCTATACTTTTCTGTTCTTTAGAAGAAGTCCTTTAAAGCGTTTCACACATTTGACCCCTTAGACCTTGAAAGTAGGTCAAAGTCATTTTCATTCTCAAACTTTGTCTGGCTCTATCCAAGAAAGCAGCCAGCAAAATATGAAGATTCTATACCTTTCAGTTCTTCAGAAGAAGTCGTTTGAAGTGTTTGACACATTTTAACCCTGCAACCTTGAAAGTAGGTCAAGGTCATTTTCATTCTCAAAATATGTCGGGCTCTATCCCAGGAAGCCACCGATATGAAGATTCTATACTCTCTGTTCTTCAGAAGAAGTCCTTTAAAGCGTTTCACATATTTGACCGCTGTGACCTTGAAAAAAGGTGGAGTCATTTTAATTCACAAAATGGAATTCTGAAAAAAAGTAGTCTTTGACTCCCATTTTTACCAACGTTTCTCTTCAAATTTCTAGGTGAGCAAACAGGGCTAGATGTTCACTGTATGGTATCTTTAACATGCCAAATACATGATATATAATGAGACAAATCATAGATGAAATACACGTACCACATCTTGGGGCTGTTTTAAGTTGCCAAATACACATGGCAGCCATTTATTTACATTTTGAAGACATTTTCCCATATGCATGCTGCTTTAGTTTTTGAAATCACCCAATGGGCATATAATTGCTAGATAGCACAAAGTTGCTAGATTGTTATTCAAAAAGAACAAAAAGCACTTGATACAGCATACATTTTTATTATAATAACCAGACAAATCTGAGATTGACACATTCCTTTGAAAATTATAAATAATCGATTTGATACATTCAAATTATTAAGAGGCCCTTAGGGCATGTATAGCTCATCTTGTTTATTACATATGGCAATTATGTGTGTTCTGAGTTTTCAATATATTTTTAACTTGGTGTGACATAAGGTAATTCTTATAAAGCTTAAATTTTCAAATTTATCTTGTTAAGTGGAAAGGAAGACGATAAACTCCCGGGCACTTTTCGTTTAAATGGTCAAACCAGTCGGACCACAGTTGTTCGTTAATTAAATAAGGTCGGACCTAGTAATCCGATGCTGCTTTCAGGTGAGCCTTGATTGGGTAAGCCTTGCAAGGGCTGCATAAACATTTGCAGGTCCGCCTGGATTTACACCCAAAATTGTTACATTTATAAACGGTCAAACTGGTTGTTCCGCATAAACGAACAAGCCCCAGTAATACCACACTAGCTTAACTCATTCACCCCTGAAGACGCATTAGAACTCTTCCAATTCAAAGGTTGGAATAGTCGATTATAAAATTTCAGGGGTGAATGAGTTAAAATTAGGCCGAGTGACAACGGATAATGAACCACAGGATAAATACTGGATATCAAAATCCTTTTTGCAGCTGTAGATAAGTTATGAAAATAATTATAATGCTGAACAGATATTCAATATATATAGGTTGTTATTATTACAACATTCCATAAAGCTATATTGAGGAGAACAAGTTCTACCCTGAAATGGGAGAATACAGTACACCTGTAGCTTAAATGTAACTCTTTCTGATTTAACATGTTTTCTGTGTTCAGTGTTGCATCAGTCATGTTTAACTTTCGCCACAGACAATATTTGTGTTATTTCAAACATAGGAACAGTATATGTAATATAGCTACACATGTTTGAATAGTTGCTAGCACATTTCTGGAGCCTCATGAATGGCACGGACTGAAGACTACAAATGCCCCTGGCCATCATAACATTTTAATAACATCTAATTCACATAGTCATGTCCCTAGTAAACCATTCCTCCACACCGAGTAAGATAATTGGTCAACATCAGCATTTTCCTGCAAGGAGATACACATGTGCTATATTTTTTTTGGGGAAAAAAGCACATTACATTATATATCTATTTAACATCGAAGACTGTCATAATCAATTAATAACATTAAGTACTTAGAGATTAAACTAAAGTAGTTCTATATCCTCAAGAGCGATTAGTCTCTATTACAATATCAATTAAGGTCTCTTTCCATAGATTTAAAGCTATTTACTCAACCCTGTTCATCAATAGGTTATTTCTGGTCTGTAAAAAACTGTAAGGCAAGGTAGGTTTGCAGATGCTTGCATTACTGTACATCCATGGATAGCTACTGAAGTGATTATAGCAGTACTTCTGGATGATGGCAAGTAGACTTGACAGGTCTGTATTACCTCATTAGAAAAAAATACTGAAATGTTTGACATTCGTAAAACTGATTTCCTATATGGATTTATTTTATATCAAAACAAGAATTCCACGGGAGTGGATGTGTCGCCTGCTCAGCTCTTTTAGCAAGGCATTGCAAGCGACACAAAAAGGAACTTATATAGATGTTTTTTCTTAAAACAAAAAATAAATCTTTTAAGTTAATTACTATCCATTTTTTTTTTTACCATATAATAATGTATTTGTCAAGTCCGTGTCGCATGTTTACATTTCAGAAATTCTGCATTTTTAAACCTTGTATTGACATTTAAACGAAAAGGAAAAAAATATTATTGATGTGGAATCTTTTACTATTCAAATGATCTAAATGCCAATTCTGATGGCATGCATGTACATGCCCTGGTACAGCTCAATTACTAGAACTTACCAGGCCATAACAATATTTATCAATCATGTTTTTTTTGTGTACATTATTTATTTTTTCATACTGATTGTACCAGTACTTTTCTTTTCCTTTAAGTTGTACTTGTCTTGAAATGTTCAATACTACTTGTATTGCACAGGTGCCTTTTTTCTTTCTCTGTATTTAAAAGGCACAAAGGAAAATAGAATTCTCTAAATCATGAACATACTTATTAAGAAATAGGTAATAATTACTTGTTTTATCTGTACGGAGAGTTGTTGGTGTGGATGTTCTCAATTCAACATTAACAACAAAGCTATACTCAACATTTTAATCCTTAGCAATGCTTATAACTGACTTAGATTTCAAATGTACGAGGTTTCATTGTTCAAAATCTACACTACAGAATTACGGTTAACTTATATATATTTACATGAACACCAATAACCACAATACAAGCACGGTATCAAATCAACATATATATTTAATTTTACTTAACAAATATAAATGATATGTCCATTTCTGTTGTGACGTACTTAAGAATTCCATAGTTACAAACCAAAGAACGATTACCTTTAAACGAAAATTTCCACCAAGAAAATTACAATGCAAAAGAAGATACGATAAAATATGTTCAATCTCATGATCAAGGATGGAATCTATAGAAAATAGCAAAGTTATGTCACCAACACCTCAAACTACACAGACCCATAGCAATGGATGCCGACAAGAAGATTGAGAATACTCTCGGAAGAAACAATTAACATTATATATCAACTTCCACCATAATACAAAATGTAGTTATTTCCTTAAATTCAACATATACATGTATCCTGATATGTATGCCAAAAAAACCAAAACATTTACTGATAATCAGGAGAAATTTGAATTTTTCAAATTATTTTGCAACAATTTGTATTCCAAGAAACATATTTCTCAATTAATAAACTGGTTCTTTTTGACGCTAAATTATTTTTATGTATTAATGTCCTGTGTTTAATTCTGCGTCTATTTTAAAAATTACAAAAATGGAATTTTGTAAAATTTGATTCTTAGAGCATACACAACAGCAATTATAATAGTAAATTGTCCTGATTTTACCTGTTCCTAATTATTTCGTGAACTACATAAGAAGGGATTGTACGTTAATTACCTTGTTCATAATTGAGAAGAAACTATTCAATATTGAAAGCGATATTCTCCTTATTAGATTTCAATTTCAAAATGAATAAATTATTAATGCCAATTAATGTGAAAAGTGATTTAGAGTACAATGAACTCTTATTTATCGACACAAGCTATTTCTTGGAAATATTTGGAAAATATTTTCGACATGATGAATTTATCTAATACTTCTCAATTCAAGAAAGCTTTTCATAGCTTTGAGAGCAGATTAAATAGGGTCCATTGTACTGTGAAATCAATACAAAACGTTAATTATTGTTGTGCTTCCATTATACTGTACATTGAAAAAAGGTTATTTTTATAGTGCATGTACAAGCTCAAGCATCCATATTCATATTATGCAGTAAAACTACAGGTGATCACAGAAAATTCTCACACACAACGAAAATATGACTTGCACACATGGAAACCTATATATTAAAGTGTAAAATCTAAACAACTACTGTCAAATTTTGGAGATGCAATATTCTTAATAAATTTATTTTTTATTTTTTTTTCATACAAAAAAAGTGGTCTTTATTCGTATTTGTGTTACTATGCTCATCAAAGATCTATTTAGCACTTACATCATCGAAGATATATCCCTATTATGTCCAATATTTCACAAAAACAAAATGTGAAAAAAAATCATCGTTTCATTAATACTTAAGTCACACACATGATGTTTTATACAACTAGAAGTTATTTTTGTACCTGAACACAGCACTCTTGTCCTAACTCGATAATACTAAGTAATTAGTTGCAATTTGTAAAGGAATGTAAATTATTTTGTTCTATTTATCACAGAAATTTATCATTCTAGGTTACATTGAATTCACTATCAAATAATTCAACCGAACTGCAAATCTAAAACTACAGTAATATATATGTTGATAATGAATTTGGCTCACACAATTACGGGCCAAAAAAACATTTTATAAGTGAAAATTTAGTTTTCCGAAATTTGTAAAAACAAACCAACAAAATTCATAAAATGCCCTGGTTTCCTATTAAGTGTTACTGTGTAATATATATTAATACATGCATCTGAACCAGTATGTGGTTCATCTTATCTAAAAACCCTTTCACCCCTAGATCACTTTAGTAGACTCTTGGTAGACTCTACCATACATTTATCTGGATGAGTCCATTATGGTCCACAGTGGTGGAAGGGTTAAATAGCAGTATTGATGAGTAGTGGGTTGGGACGTCATTTCATCACGAATCATGAACCTTAAAAAATGTCACAGACTTTGAACCAATATATCTATCAGCTTGCCGATAACATCTGTGTGACAAAAATAGCACTTATCATCAGGATACTGATAATATTATCTATTACAGATGACAGAATGAAATAGCATATATCTTTTAAAAATACATTTTATATAAAAGTAAATAGATATATATATATAAGCACTTCAAATGTTTGGTTTTTCTTACGGACATAGTTTTTTACCAGTGATCAGCCAAACATCAGACTTTTTATACCAGTGTCAAAGTAACAAGTCTTTCATGCATATACCCAGCGTCAAACTTAACAGTAAACCAGTACTTATAAACTAATTTAACCTCCTTCGGAGAGATCAAAGGCGAAATACAGTATCCGTGTGAGTACAGAAATCCAATTCTTAATGCACCTGATCAAAACACAGAGACTGATGAACAAGTGTAAGTAAACACTCAACAATAACATATTATCTAAATAAATCATTTCTCTTGTTTTCTTTGGCAAGCTGAAGTAAGGTTATCATCAGTGATTAACATTAAAAAAATCCCAAAGAATATTTGCATTTTGTCATCAACCGATGGCTACTTATCTATTGTACTGTACTAATGATATTTTATTGAACAATACCACTTGCATAATTATATAGTTCAATTAAGGCATAATTTGTTTATGAATCAAATCTGTTTATTAAGGAACTTTTTTTCTGAATACAAAAATGAAAATAGAAAAAAAAGGCAATTCCCAATGTGAATGTGGGCACAGAGAAGCACTTAACATCAATGATATACAGGGGTATATGGAGAGGAGGGAGGGATGGGAGGGGGGCTAAAGTTTGTGTTAACATTTGTATAGACTTAGGAACAAATTCATTGTGGATTGAAGAAGTCAAATTAAATGTCCCATCATATAATTTCTGGAATAGCCCTTAACCCTTTCACCACTGTAGACCATAATGGACTCATCCAGATCAATGCATGGTAGAGTCTACTAAAGTTACATAGGGTTGAAAGGGTTAACATGATCAAAAAAGCCACAAAGTTTCAATAAGAAAATTAACCCAAGGTGGTGTCCTGTAACATTTGAAGAAGGATGAAAAAACCCAGATAATTAAGATTCTTCCAATATCTTAACATTGCTACAATTTTAACCCTTTCACCCCTATGTAACTTTAGTAGAGCCTGCCATGCATTGATTTGGATGAGTCCATTATATGGTCTACAGTGGTGACAGGGTTAAAGGTCACAGAATTTCAGCAATCAGATCTCAAATTAAAGTACAACAGTATACCTATACGATATCTACATAAAGCCAAGTCTTGTGATATAGTTACAAAAGCATCAAACCTGAATTCACTATTTCCACATCTATAAAGTCTGGCTATAAAAACAAAATCTGCACACGTATTGCAACAAACCCTAAACATCCTTTCAAACATTTTTCTTTTCCTTCAAATTTTGTCAACTTTAATCCTGATCAATTCAGGACTACTGGAAGAAGTTCAAATATTTTATATTGTTCCAGATCATTTGATCTGGCAGTTATTGGTGAAAAAAGTATAAATTCAAATACTTTATAAGAAAGCGTGAGAAGAAATGTTTTGGGAGATCTGAATTTTCTACAAGTGTTTTTTTTAAGCCGGTACCCAAACAATCTCCTTATTTAATCAATGGCAATTCCTTTTCAACTGAGAAAAATAAAATATAACAAAGCGATAAGTCAATTTAAAAAAAAAAAAAATCCACTGTCTGATCAGCTGAACACTATGTGGTGTAGTCTTGGAGATACACAGGAAATCTTGTAGAATAAAACATCACAGACTTACAGTAAGTCAAACCTGGGGACCATGAAAAAAAATAAATTCTAAAAAAAAAAAAAAAACACCACAAAACTGTGGCACTTTATGTCTTTGAAGTTTCACCATAAGAACATCTCTTTTGAAAAGAAATGCGTCTGATCTTTATAAAACAGATGCTTTGAATTTTTCTTGAATCCTTGCATAGCAAACCAGATGATCCTAATGACAGCACTAGCCTAAGCACACTCAAATTCTTGCTACACTAGTCGAGGCCACTACAGTACAACAACATAACACACTAAATTCTACAGAAAATAGCAACACTTTCTTGTAGAATCAAACCATAGCACTTGTCAATACTTAAAAAAATCTTTAAGGGGACACAAAAAGTGTTGCATGATTTCATAAAATAGAACAGAAAGATCCACATAGACTTAACAGTTACAATTTTATCTAAAGGGCAGTTACATAGAAAAGCTGAATGAATGATCACCAATCGCCCACCAATAGGTTTTACACAATATTTCGAATCACAACTAACGAATCTAACATCATTTCATTAGGAAATGGTAATAAAAATACCTGAAAGAAAGCATCATGGTCAGTTATTGGTGACCAAACAAACAACATAGAGGGCAGGTTTTGTGGAATCTATCGATATAAAATGGGTACAGAAGTTGTGTTAGACAAGTACGCACATCGATAAATATCTATATTAAAAGTTTTGCATATACTTCTTCTTCAATAAAAAATATTTTTTATGAAAGTCAATATACCAACATTATTAAACAAGTCCTTTCGAAAAAATATAAAATGTAGTTGCAACAAAGTACATGAATAATTACCACTGATTATTAACTTACAGATGTACTGATATACAAAACAAATAAAAAAGTCTACATCTTTACGTTTAAGGGCTGTGTATCAAATAGTGAAATGAATTTTCCGGTCTCAAAATTTAGTTAAAATGCAGTATTTTTCCGCAAAAAAATAAATGAAATTGAGGTTGAACATGACTGAGAACTTGCTTTGGGAGCATTTACAGCCAAGAGGGTTGGACTTAAGATAATCCCCTCAGTATACAGTTGGCAATAATATTGGATTAGTTGGGAAGTATACATATATGTACCCATTACCATACAAAACATATATTTACCCATATGACACACACACGAAAACATAGTTTATATACACATATATATATTAAATCTATGATATTTTATCACCAACAAAGAGTGTGTTCAGACCTTGTAACCAGACTCACAAAAACACTCAAACTGATCATGACATGGTGTCTGGCCTTAGTACAAGGATTTTGGTTTTGTCATCGTAGATTTACCAAATCCACATCAATATGTGCTGTGATTTTAGACTTTTGAAATGTGCCCTTTCTGTCGCGCAATAGACAAAATCCAGGGGAAGGAAGTCAAACACTAGATATGCATCAAAGTTGCTTTGTTTTGATTGCCAGGACAAATATTTGCAATTCGTTATCCTTTTGGGATTAGAAAACAATGGTTTGAACAGTCGGGGAGACATGGAGACTAAACATCGGTATATATTAACACACCATAACAAGCTTACACATACCCAACATTACAAAACACCATGCTAATTGTTATTGTATAAACTAACACAACAGGGGATATGTTGCTATCTAGGTACAAAGTCTAACAACAGTACTCTATACATCATTTTCCTTCCGTTTGTTCACTCTGCTCCGTTAATGCTGAATCCATATTTGGCTGCTGACTTGAGTCCGTCACATTATTATCTAATTTGTTAGCACTATCATCCTCATCCTCGTCGTCGTCATCATCATCATCTTTCATCAACTGCTTGGCTAATTTAACAGCCTGGAATTCATTGTAGTGCAGCTTCCTCTTTTGTTCAAAAACTTTCCTCACAGCTACAACAGAAAGTATCACAGATTTTACAGCCACAGATAGTAATTCAAGCTTCTGACAATCATTGTCCAGAGGATATACTAAAAGAACACAAGAAAACGTGACTGCTTCAAAAACAGATTCTTATAAGTTTCTCAATTTATATTCTTGTCAACAAACTTACCGTACCAACATGAACAAACAGAATTGTTAGCTTTTTTCTGTTCCACAACAATAAAGGAAAACGTTGAACAGTAAAAATCTAAGACGGTTATCACGTTTTTCTTCTGAAGTGTCTCAAAATGAAATATGCACAACTCAAGACCAAAGGCAAAGGAGACCTACATATGAAATTTGAGGAAAATTTGGAAGTGTCAATAATAAACTTCAACTATTTCAATCTTAACTAACCTTTCTTTTCTGGAGTTTCTTCTAGCTCCTCATCAGAAGATGATTCTTCGTCAATTGAAGGATGGCTTAACACAGTGGGATTAATGCCTTCTTCATTTAATCTGAGACAACAAAATTGTTAAGTTAGTAATTAAAAAAGTAACAGGATTACATCATAGTCAAAAACATTACACTAAGATATTGTTTATCAAAAACTGCTACAATAGGTTTAAACACAATTGTGTATAATTTAAAAACCTTTTTAGTCCCTTTTACATCCTACATTTGCTATATATATTGTAATAAGTAGAAGCACAGAAGTAGACATATAGTATAAACCTGATCACTATCAATTAAGGACTTTTAGTGGAGATGAAATTGTGCGGTGATAATCCACCAGTAAGTTCAGAGATGATGTTGCTTAAATGCTTTGCACATTGGAGAACCCTTACTATCCCATCGGATCCCTCAGCCCCACCCTGAAGATTCAGCCCTTTTTGAGCATTAGTTTTGATTCTCATCATTTAAGGATCATTTTATGAAATGATGGTGAAATTTTAATGGTTAGTTTCAGGCTAATTGAAGGTTTTGCATTCAGTGACCCCTTTTATGGCCATAACCCACAGTCCATAATTAGATGTGATTGGGGTGCCAGCCATTTCTTTAAAATAGATTCAAAAGTACTAGTTTCATTGTAATTTCATCGACAACGTTATGATGAGAAGTCAATTGTTTACAGATAAAAAAATAAAAACAGTCACAATAAATCATCTCTATATAGTAATGAAGTGGTGATCTTGACAGTTTTAATGTAATGACCCAGAGATAGAGTTCCTAAGGGTGGGTCCAGATCCTGGAGCCAACCCTGGCAGCATAAGTGTATTGGTCTTTCATGATTATGCATTTTATTTTAAAGTGGGTATTAAGTCTATTTCATGTTATGACCCTGGGACAGGGTCCCAAGAAGCAGGGCCAGACACCAAGACCAACTTGTATAGTAATATTGTGTTCATAGTTTTATGTCAGGAATTTGTATATCTGATTATAAAGTAGAGTTTCTAAGGGTTTGGCTGGAACTTTAGGTTAATCCTGGCAGCACATATGTATTCATTTCTTCATACATGCACAACAAGTGTATATATATGGTTATGAGCTGAGGTTCTAAATAGTTTCCATGTTATGCCTGAGAGAATATATCGATCTATAGGGTGAGGTGGACCCAATGGCCAACCCTGCTAACATGACAGGGGTGTGCAGTACTATAAGTCAAAACCCTGGACTACTAGTACATGTAGGTTTTATGTCCAAACTAGTACACTAGTCAGACACTCCATCAATGTACATTTTGAATCACCACTACAAGAAATGATTCAAATTAAATATAGTGGATATGCCGCACATCGTTCTGGTTCCAGAGAAGTCGTTTTTGGCAATTATTTATTCCCTCATCCACTTCACTTGTACCATCCTGAATCCCCCACCTTCTAAGGATGGTTCTAGTCAAATTTGGTAAAATTCTGTTCAGCGGTTTGAAAGAAGTAGTTGTTTTAAGAAATTTTGATGGGCAGACGGACACCATGTTATGGTAGAATCTTGGGGAGAACACCAATGATTTATACATCTAAATTAAGTACCAGCTGTATTGATTAATACGGACACCAGTTATATATTTATGTCAATATTTAACCTTGAAGCTATTGTCTCTGCGTTGAGTTCAATCTCTTTCTCGCTAATGCTGCTGCGTCTTTGTTGTGTCTCCCCATCCTCATCTTCGGGGTCTGAATATTTGCTGTAGGGTGTGAGAGGTTCGTCTATCTTCATGTGGCCATAGTCTTTATCTGCTGGGTGATGAGTGGCCAATATGTTCATTTCATCCCATGTCATCTCCTTCCTTCCATCCCTGGGTGTGTTGGTTGTGCTAAAAACATTTGTGTTAAATACAATACTTCGGTATATTTGTAAAATATTTCTTGCTTATATCATGACAGGTTTGGCACAACGTTGCTTATGGGTAATAATCCTGCATTTGGGTAACAGTTACCCATTTGAGTAACAATGGGGAATAAAGTGAAATAAAAACAAACACAAAGTTCTTTTAAACACTTGGAGCAAACAAGGATGTTTTCCTTTCACCTAAATCCAATAAATAACACAATGAAGTACATTTGTGCACAACAATTTATCAATTCTGATGTCTACCTTTTTGTGAAAAGGACAAACCATATCACTGACTTTGTTCTGCATTGACTTCAGTGTGTATAGGCAATGGGACCATTCAGTGCAAATGTGACAGGTAAGCATGATTTTTTTTTCTGTGTTATTTATAGCTACTCTACAACACACTATAAGCAATGGAGGTGATACAATTTGTCATGTTCACACAAATTTAGACAACTGAATACACATATTTATGCACAATTGTACCTCATTGTACTTTTTATTTGATCATGTTGAAAGAATGACGCCATTTTTTTGTTTATAATGAGTAAAAGAACTTTACTTTATTCCCCATTTCAGTAATGAAATTGTTACTCAAATGGGTAGCTGTTACCCAAATGCAGGGGTATTAGGCCCATATGCGCCGTTGTGATACAGGATACAGAGGACTATTTTTGACAATATCATTTCGGTTGTCGTAAAAAGGATGTGGTTTAAATTATTATCATCTAGGCCTATCTCTTTTTGATTCTGACCAGCTGTATGTGACCATTTCTGACAGACACCACACACGGAATTGGAATAGAACTTAAAGAGCAGTGTGTGGTGACAAACGAGCACCCTCATAATCATAACAAATGAGCCAGCTGATTATGATACGTTGTGTCTACAATAATATGTTAGGTCACCATTTCAAAATATATTCAACCATACATACACGATAATACGGTCGATAATTAAAACATATTTCTTACTAAATAGGCTCTGGTTTGTCGAAACTGGAAGACGATTTGAGGATTCCCTTCATCGGCTTCCTATGCTGGGAAGCCATCTTCGAAGCTAATGATATTACCGAAGGGCAGAGGGTCTGGCGTCTCATTGGTCGATTGAATGGAAACACAAATCTTTACATTTCCCTCCATATATATATGTTTATTACATAACAACAAGCATAAGAAAATTATTCATATTTTAATCCCGTGATATATTTTGAAAAAAATATGTGAACTTATATTTTCTATAATATTATTATCCAACTGCAAATAAAGAATTCATTCACGGCGTATGACATATCACAATACTTCCGGTTATGAATGAAATCGAAACAACTCCGTTTTGGATTCTTAGACTTTATGAATGATGACATGACATATCAATCGAATGTCACATGACGGTAGGTAAACTGAATGATTTATCACTTTTTGCTCGACACATAAAACTTTACTCACTGGAAATTCGAAGAAAATGTAATAGCAAACTTGATGAACCAAAACTTTGTTTACATTTCCTTCGGGTTTTTTGACGTTTGATTGCAAGGAGAAGAAATGGTAAAGTGTCTTACAAATGGGGTCTATTGATATTTGACAACAAATATTGCATACATGTATACTGTATAGCAATGTTATACTCTGACGGGAGATCTTAGCTATAACGGAAGAATGAGAAGATCAGTAGATCTCAATTTTTATGCATGATTTAGCTTCATTGACGATACTGTATAGATCTATTAGGTTTTCGTTAGCAGTATTAATATTAATTCAATCAGATTACGGGTCAAATAACTGAAACTTTACCGCCCATTTGTGGCAACGACACACATATTTGGTTAGAGGTTTGAGTGATGATATCTTGTTTTGTTTAAGTTTTGAATTGATGCTTTTTTGCACAAAGTGTTTTAAATATACACGATGACATGTTGCTATAAATAACTTGTATGTATCAACAATTTGGGACAAGTCTAGATTTTCTATTATATGATTTATGGTTTCTGTTTACAGACTGAACTGTAAGGAAAGACCTCATTTTGACAGCTGTATCACCATATGCCCCATTTAGTTGAACTTGTGTGATAGGTGTGCTTGCTTAACATGAAATATGATGTTACACTTTTGTTATTTTCAAACTCTGCAGTGAACTTTTCACCCAATTGGTAATTTCTAATTATTCACTGGTAAAAATGTTGTATAGTAGCTGTGATTTTCAGCCTATATAAATGGGGTCGAGTACGTATACCGATCCCATTCCCAATGAGATTTCATCAAAATAATTCCCAATTGCCCCTGCTGAAATTCCCAACTGATTACCGATTTTTTGACATTTTGACCCTGTCATTGTTTTTGCGTATAGAATGCAAGTCGTCTGCAAATGCTTAGCTGATCACGAATCACTGTTAAATATGGCGTTGTCTCACAACGGCAAATACTACGCCAAAAAAATACGGCTATCGGACAGTATTAAAGGGCTCCAAAAGCCTGCCTGATCTCTTTAAATGCAAAAATCCACCACAGACGTTATCAGAACCTGCGCGTGTCGGTCTGATTCAACTTGTCGAGACAGAACCGACGTTGGTATCTCCACAAAAATCTAGACCACAAGACCGCAGCATTAGACACTTTTATCCATGGATATTATACAATGTATTGTTGCTTCATACTTCTTTGCCAATTATAAATTAAATTCTGTGCTACCCTTAAACAAAACCTGAAGTCCTGGGATTTGGTAATTTTTTACTGTAAAAGCCCTTGTAACACAATTATTTTACCCCAAAAAACATCTGTTTTCGCGTTAAATTTTCCCAATTTCCAGAAAAGTATTTTTTCCCAAAATAGCCTGAAAAATCACTGAGTAGGTGCAGAAATATTGTTTATTGTAATAATTCAAATTTATGATAACAAATGTTTTATTGCTTTTAAACTATGGAAAGATGCCGCTGATCACCACAGTGGCAGAGAACACATTAAAATAATCATAACAGTGACAATTTGGAATGAACTGCCAGAGCAATAGCATTAAAGGTTAATTCTTTTAAAAAAATAAGCAGACAATCACTGGAAAAACCAGAAACTTTTCTTCAGCTACAAAGCAACAATCACATTGTAGACATCAATTTTCATGTATACTGGATAGAAGTGTAACAGGGGAGGAAAAATGCATGGCCAGACCAGGGTTCAAACCCGGGACCCTCCGAACTATAGATAGATGCTCTAAAAATTGAGCTATCTGATCGCCGACGACCCAGTCCAGTTCCGCTACAGAAGTATTTGACAAATGTATTTTATTTATTTATTTGAGAGTCTCGTATAGACAACTTTAATAGTCCTGAACCAGAAATAAACTTAACTTATCTTAAATATGAGTGCACTGATACAGTATAAAAGTGATTGTAAGTCTTGTTTTTGTTTCACAATTATAACTAATACTTTTATCCATATGTTGTAAAGCGCTTTAATTTAGAGTAATTTTACAAATTACATAGGGCGCTATATAAATGTTGTATATTATTATATTATTAATATATAATTTCTGTCATCAACATAGATATTACGGTATATCTATGTAGCATAATTAGATCCCATATCCACTGAAAAGCGTAACCACACATTGGAAACTTTTTTCTGGCATGACTACTATAGCTCCAAGACAAGATGTAAGTCAGATAAGCATGGTTTACCATTGTATCGAGAAGGGAATCTATTTCTCAAAGAACGTTTGATCATTTTCGCTTGTAACCATACAATTTAACCTCTGATCGGGATGGAAAGCCTTAAAATTCGATGCCACAATCAAATTACACGGTCCTAAAGCACTACTATGTGCAAATACCGAAAGTAGTTGGTAACATAGATAATATCGTGAGCTTCATCAGCTACTTTGAAGCATGTAGAAAGCCCATATATTAGTAATGGGTGAACTCTGTCACAGCCAATTTTGTACGGTAGCAAACATTGGTGATAGAATGTTGCTGATACATTTGGAAGATTGGATCTCTCTCCCAACTACTTGATATATTTTTAAAACGACATTTGCCGGTAGAAGGCACTTCAGTAATGAGGTAATGTGGGTTTGACGTGAAATATTCAAAAAGGGGTAACATATCACATTTCTGAAAGCAAACAATATCTTGGGAAACTTTTAGGAATAACATGAAAGCAGAAGTTTAAAAAATCAACAACACTATTTAAAGTTTTAAAATGCAAATTTAAAAGAGTTAGACCAGGTTTCAAACCCTGACATCTGATCATAATATTTAAGCTCTAACTTTACCTACTGAGCTACCAGATCAATGGAAGTACCCTCGTCCAGTCATGCATACATGTTCAAATAAAGGCTTTTAAATTAAGGCTCTATCGTTTTCCTGCAGTGGGACAGGGATCCTTATGATATGAACGTATACTTAATACATGTATCATAATAATCCTGCATATTGCTGGATCTGATCTTCAGAAATACCTCTGTATATATAGGTTTTGAAATTGTTACTGTAGATTTATTTGTTTTCATTGTGATTGTCTGTGGATCTACTGTTAACTCATTCACCCCTGAAGACACATTTGGACTCTTCCAATTCAAAAGTTGGACCACTTCATTATGATATTTTGGGGCAAATAAGTTAATTTCTAATTCTGCTATAGATTAATTGTTATAATTAATAATGAACTGTACTTTTTTCCAGACATTGAAAATGAAAATGTTGACATCACTAGATACGTGAACACAGGTCGATTGAAATAGACATCAGTATGCAGGGTTTGTCTAGACAGAGGAGTGAGGATGGCAAGGTTCTCTGTGGATCTTGTCCAGATGAGCAGTGTCAAGCCAAATTGTTTTTTCCTGCCTATGACAAGAGTGTGGAATGCACAGGCTGTGGAAAACGACATGAGCAGACATCGCTACAAAACATCGCTGAAGTCACTAATCCTAGCGTAGCATTACACAACATCTTAAAAAACATCCTCCTGGGAAATGTGAAGCCTAAGAAAGGAACTGATGATGTCAAAGTTCTTGGCCTGTCAAATTATGTTTGTAAATCTATTTCTCCAATTCTGACACGATATGGAATGGACAAGAGAACAGGGAAGGCAAAACTTCTCAAAGAACTTTCACAGCAAGACATTTTCAATTGTGGAAAGATTCTCGGTGATCGTGCTTTCCTCATTGAGGAGGAGAACTTGGAGGTGATTGGGTACGGAAGAGATCGATCTGGAAGTGTAAGATACTTAGCAGACATTCTAAAAGAACTAAAAATCTACAATGACCAGGAAGAACGTCTTGTCCCTATACACGCCGATGGAGATGGACATTGCCTTGTTCATGCTGTTTCCCGAGCGTTGGTCGGCAGGGAATTGTTCTGGCATGCTCTACGACTGAATTTAGCTGACCATTTCCAGACAAATTTATCCCGGTACAAGGAACATTTTAGAGAATTCATAGACACCAATGAGTGGGATTATATCATTGGAGAATGTGATCCAGACTTTATTCCCCGTGACGGAGAACCATTGGGTCTTAGAAACATTCATGTGTTTGGTCTGGCCAACGTTCTCCATAGGCCTGTCATACTCTTGGATTCCTACCTTGGCATGCAGAGCTCAGGAGACTATTCTGGTAGGTTATTTTCAGAGTTTTATCAAACCTTAATTAAAAATCATAACTTGAGGCTCTTATATACTGCCTTATCACAACCTAGTTCATACGTTGTCTCAAAGCATTTCACAAATTATTATCCGAGGTTATATAGGGCCTTTGTAACCAGCAAATATCTTTCTCAACTCCCTGGGGAGCATGCATACAGCCGGTGCTGCCATTTCGATGCTCATAACTAGCATTCAACAATTCTAGCATGGCCCGCCCACATACCCATTTACAGCTGAGTAGACTGGAATAAGCGGAGCAAGGTATCTTGCTCAAAGATACAAAACAGTGCCGTGACTCGACCTTTCAGTCACAAGCCCAGCATCCTACCACTAGACTAGCTACCGTGCCTCCTTTCTATAGCTTTCTATAGCTTTTATTCACAAACTACCATTATAATGGGTTTTCCAGTGTAACAGGCAGATAATAGAAGTTAAATCTTCTAGGTCTGATACTATATATAACTGTGCAGTTATTCTGCCTGTAAATGTCAAATTTTGCACATAATCAATTTTGTTGTTGTTGCAAAATATGTTTCTGTGGGAATGAGCAACTCTTCATTTTCAGACTTTACAATATAGAAAAACAAATGTTAATGTCCTATTTTGTCTGCTTCAATGAATGAATTGGTTTAAAACCCAACTTATTTGTTTTACTTGCTCATCAATTAAGATATTTTACTTTAAGCCAGTAGACAATTATATATGCATGGTTAAAGTACTAGTGCTACACTGATTTGTTTTTCCGTGAATTTTGTCAGGTGTTTTTTTGCCCGCCCTTGTTGAGCCAGAAGCCTGCAAGAGTCGAGATGGTACACTCAACAAACCACTGTGTATTGCCTGGAGCAGTGCTGGACACAACCATTACATTCCTCTCGTAGGAATCAAAGGTAAGGGTCCAAGCTATCTCTTCTAATTTAGACCAACATTGTAATATGTTTGTAAAATTCTTAATTGAGCTCATTTGAAAAGGAAACAAATCTCTCTCATTTCCGTGTGTGTAAGATAGGGCTGTCCAGCTCGGGGTAAGAAAGGGGTGTAGGAAATTTCTATCTTAATTACACCCCATTTCACGTGATGTGACATCACTATGGCTCAACAATGACGTGACGTCACGAATTTGGAAAACTTGGATGCTGCAATGTGGTTATTTTACGATATATTTACCATACACGATAAAAAGATGAGATTTTTTTTTTGCACAAACATTGTTTGCTAATATGGGATATGCCAAATCTCACTGACAGATTTGTTTTTCGTCAAAAAAGCTGAGGGGGAAAATTGCTATTTTCAAAATGGTAGCCAGTCAAAACGCTTTCTGAGCTTATTCTGGTTGTTGGAATGAGAGAAAAATACTCTTTCATGCCCAAGGGTGTAGGATAGGGAAATTCCACCCTCGGCAAAGCCTCTGGTTTTACCAAATTTGAAAATCCCTTGGTGGAATTTCCTTATCCTACACCCCTGGGCATGAAGAGTCTTATAGTCTTGAATTTTGTGCATGTGTGGTAAAAAAAATTCTAGTTTTAGTATGAATATTGGTTTAATATTGAAAACAAGAGGCCCAGAGGGCCTGTATCGCTCACCTGGATACCTAAGCAATCATGGCAAAATATTCTCCAAATGAGATCAAGGGAATATGACAGACACCAAGGCCAATCCTTGTAGCATAGCTATATTAGATTTTTCATGCCCAGCAATTTTATGTATGGTTATGGGGTGGGGATCTCAACTGTTTCCAAGCTTTGACTCGGTAACTTGGTCCCTAGAGTTGTGGCCAGACCCCAGGATCGATTCTAATATTGTGACTGCATTTGTCTCTTTTTGCCCAGCATCTGTGTATATAGTTTTGGGGTGGGGATCTCAACCGTTTCAAAGTTATGACCCAGGGGCCAAGTCTGCAAGGGTGGGGCAGACGCTGTGAACAATTCTAATATCATGAGTGCATTCGTCTCTTTATGCCTAACAATTATATATATAGTATTGGGGTGGGGATATTAACCATTTTGAAGTTATGACCCAGGGGTTAAGTCTCCAAGGGTGGGGCAGTCCCCAAGGCCAACCTGGAAGCATATGACGTACAATCATTTCTTTATACTCAGCAATTGTATATGTACGGTTATAGGTTGGGGCTCTCAACTGTTTCCAAGCTGTGACTAAGAAACTAGGTCCCTAGGGGTTCGGTCAGACCCCAGGGTCTATTCTGATATCATGATTGCATTCATCTCTTTATGCCCAGCATTTGTATATATAGTTTTGGGGTGGGGATCCCCACCGTTTTCAAGTTATGGCCCAGGGACTATGTCTCCAAGGGTGGGGCCAGACGCTACGGACATCCTGGAAGCAAATGTGCATTCTTCTCTTTATACTCAGCAATTGTATATATGGTTATATGGTGGGGATCCCAACCATTTCCAAGTAATAAATTTTATTGGCCCCACCCTTTAGCCCGGGGGGTCAGCCCCACCATTTGTACAATTTTGAAACCCTGCCTCTCATGAATACTTCCGACCAAATATGATCAATATAAACGGCATTGTTCTGCAGAAGAAGTCGTTTATAGCAATATAACCAAATTGCCCCCTTTTGGCCCCGCCCCTAAGCCCCCTGGGGAGTCAGACCCACCATTTGTACAATTTTTAATCACCACCACCTAGGGATGCTTCCAGTCAAATATGGTTGATATCCACTTCTTAGTTCCAGAGAAGAAGTCGCTTAAAGCAATATGGCCAAATTGACCCCTTTTGGCCCCGCCCCTCAGCCCCCTGGGGGGTCAGCCCCACCATTTGTACATTTTGAATCCCCACCACCTAGGGATGCTTCCAGTCAAATTTAGTTTAATTCCAACAAGTGGTTAAGAAGAAGAAGTCGTTTAAAGAAATTGTTGACGTACGGACGGACGACGGATGCCACGGTATGGCATAAGCTCTTAGCTGCTGGCATTGCTATATGATAGTATAATTTCTGATTCACAAATGATTTTTGTTGCATTTTCCTGTAAATTTATCATATCTCAACTGTTGTTTTTGCTACATATCTACATACTTAAACCCTTATTAAGATTCCTTCCAGATTTAAGATCAACTTGGTTCCAGATCAGGTATGAGATTTTGACTGTTGATTGTTGCAGGAAAGAATCTGCCGAACTTACCTCGATCTATGATCCAACGAGCTTGGGGAGTTCCTTCCGATTTGATTGATAAGTACATAGAGTTTGACCAATCAGACCTTTGCAGAGTAGGAGGGAACAAGTGTTTGTCAGTAAGTACTTACTGATGCTAAAAACAGTGTTTAAGGATTGATACGCATCTTTAACTCATTCACCCCTATAGACACATTTGAACTCATTCAATTTAAAGGTTGGAATAGTTCATTATGAAATTTCAGGGGTGAATGAGTTAATCAATTAGCATTTATGATGGTATGCAACACAGTTCCGTTCAAACATATTCAATGATCCGCAGAAATGTATCTAAGAGAATACGTCTTAACTCATTCACCCCTGAAGACACGTTTGAACTCTTCCAATTCAAAGGTTGGAATAGTTCATTAAGAAATTTCAGGGGTGAATAAGTTAATGAAACTTTGTTACATGCCATCATAAATTTATAAATCTTTATGTTAAAGTTCCAAGCAACACAGATAGTATTATATTAATGTTCTTTATGGAATTTTAAAAAATGAGGAAAATATAGGTATATTTTCCTAGGACAGAGTTATTACAATTCCCTGTTTTGTAGCATGTCAGAATTTGGTAGCACAGTGAATATTCTGTTGAAAATCATTTAATGTAATTAAACTGCTAACAACTGGGATTTAAGTGTGAAATTTAAACCAGAAATGTATTCCCCACAGGACAAGTACATTCGTCAGCTGGTGTCGGCCATGGACGAAGTGTTTGTACAGAAGAATGGCGTGCCTCCTCAGCTTGTGGCTGACGTACACCAGTTCCTGTACAAGTCTTCAGGTACACAAAATACTGAATCTACTTTTAACATTTTAAGAAATGTTATGACAGCCCATCCTCGATACTCCAAGGGTTACCTTCACTTTCGCTCTCTGCACCCCTGAAATATCTCATAGCAAATTTGAAGGCTCAGTGTGCGCCACCTTGTGGATGAGACAAGAAGACTAGTTTGATCCTTTGATGTTCATCAAAAGAATCTCGCGATCACGTAACAGTAAAAATGCTTTGAAGTCGTGTGTCGCTCCTTTGTAATCTTCAAAGGACAGGTATCAGTCTAGCAATTGGTCAAGTGTTTTTTACCTGAGACCACTGAAACAGCTGTCTTTGTGCCTTCAATTTTGCTATGAAATATTCCAGGGGTGCAGAAAGAGCAAAAGTGAGCGTATCACCTGGAACTCATTACGAACGTCACTGGCCCTTAGTGAGGATTTACCTTCTTTCAAGTCCTCACCTGAAGGTTACCAGCAGTATCTCTACTCATTTTTCGCATTCCTCGCTATGTACATAGGTTTTAATTTTATACCTAAATATTACAAACATATATTCTTTGAAGTGCCACCTCCCAGGGTCAATTGCACTCCAACCTTGGAGTTCTGATCCTTGTAATGGAAGAAGAAGGATGATGACAGCCTTGTATAACGTGTCTCGCTGACTCAACTTTTTCATTTGAATTAATTTTCACACACAAAAAAAATCTCAAGTATTTTTGAGGGTGTCCTTTCATGAAACAATGCTAAACCAATTACTTCACCAAATCATTCTTAAACACACTGGTACTTGAATAATCTTCAATTTTGTTGTTGTTGGCGACTTCTGTTAGTTGATGTGTATTTAGAAGTTAAAACCTATTATAAAAAATTACTACAGCAACTGATCATACAATGTTTTATTGTAGGTATTGTCGGGGTTAAACTGGAAGAAGTGATAGAAACAACAAAAACTGCCATAGAGGAGCATGTTCTGTACCGATGTCTCACCTGTGAGGCCCTGATCAGGTACATGTATAATGCACACACATGACCAGGCCCTGATTAGGGATACACTGCAGTATATGCACTCAGTGTTCGTTAACCTCCATATAGGAGTATATATGACCTCCTAAAATGGCTTTTGACTCTCAAAATGTTGGAGGCTTGCCACAAAAAAAAGTCAGAATTTGTGATTTATGTCTGATTTTACCCTCAACTTTTATGTCTTGCAAAAACATTGGTACTTAAGTGCAGTTCAGACGTATTGATTTTGTCAAAATCTTTCTGTTTGAACATGAAAAATGGTAAATAGGTCCTTGTGTGTCATTACTGATCATAACTAACTTCAGGTTTTACACAAAATGATCTTCAGTAAGACAGCTGACAAACCAGCTTGTTGTTTGCTTTTTGGCAAAATGATCGCAAGATAAACTTATTACTGCCAAAAATCTGACATAGTGATCTTCAGTAACTTTGATAAACCCAGCTTTTTGTTCACTTTTTGACAAAATGGTCGCAAAACAAGCTGCTACCAAATATCTTGCATAACATTGGCCGACCAATCAGAACTGTTGTTTCAATACAAACACAACAAACATAGAAAGGCAAATGTCGATAAACAAACTAGCTTTGTGTGGAGTGATTTTTGATGGACTGCTTTGTATTCAAGATAGTATGCATGTACTTGGTATAATAACTGTATGGAATGAAAAGGAAAACAAATTTAAATGCCTATTCCAATATTTATTTGAATAAAGTCTAATTTTTTTTTACCTACCAATGATCTATCAATTGTAAACCATTATAAGTCACTTGATTAGAAGTTGATGATCATGACCAATCATACTTTGGCGAACAATTTTCAACACTAGTACCGGTAAGCACATGTGACATTAGGCCGTTTCCTCAAGACATTATCCAATCTTTTTCTGATCCATTGATTCCAATATGTTGATAAGAATTTGTGTTACACCGGTACCACCTACCCCCATGAATGATTCAGGTGAATCTTGATCCTTGACTTTCTGATATTTTGTTTTTAGGTATCATCTTCCCTCGGAGTGGTTCCGGCGCGGGGGCAGTCTGTATGACCTTGCAGTTAAGACGCACAAGGATCTACTAACGGACAAGAAATACGTCTTCCCATATCAAGGTGACAAATACTGCTGATATATTTGTTATTGTAATATAAACTCCTGGTAACTAAAATGATTCTATACGCTTCTTAATGAGATTGTGATCAAATCAAGAATCACTATTTTGAGACAGTTATAGATGGTATTTTTTTTGCCCATTGGTGGCCTTTGTAAGGACAAATCATATATTTCTGTTACTGAAGTATAATTTTTCATGGTTTGCAGTGATTGGCGGTAGTTTGATTGACTGTTTAGAATTTGTCTGTATTTTGGTTGTTATATGTGAATTTTCATGGAATGTTCGTAAGTAGGTGGTTTTGTGTTGGTTGTTTAAAATTTGGTTGTTGAATTATTTGCTATATTTGAGGTTCACAGGGACCAGTCGGTCTTGAAACGTTGCGACATGTTTGATACATACTTTGTTTGTGTATAAAGTAAAACTTCCATATATATTTTTGGTGTTTCCTATATAGGGGTGACATGCATGTACAACAAAGAAAAAGACATTCTGGTCCCAGATAAAGACACTTCAAGGTTGAAGACATGCTCCTTTTGCCAAGGGTAAGTCTATGGCCTGGCTTACTCTGAAGGGTAAGTTTATTATCCACTGAAGGGACTTCTGGGCTGAAGACATGCTCCTTCTGCCAAGGGTAAGTCTATGGCCTGGCGTACTCTGAAGGGCAAGTTTATTATACATTGAAGGGACTTCTGGGCTGAAGACATGCTCCTTCTGCCAAGGGTAAGTCTATGGCCTGGCGTACTCTGAAGGGTAAGTTTATTATACATTGAAGGGACTTCTGGGCTGAAGACATGCTCCTTCTGCCAAGGGTAACTCTGTGGCCTGGTATACTCTGAAGGGTAAGTTTATTATACATTGAAGGAACTTCTGGGCTGAAGACATGCTCTTTCTGCCAAGGGTAAGTCTATGGCCTGGTATACTCTGAAGGGTAAGTTTATTATACACTGAAGGGACTTCTAGACTAAACTGAAGACATATTCCTTCTTCCACAGGAAATTCTATACATATATTCTTATATGCATGCATTACAGAAATCCTTGACGAAAGACAATGCATTTACCATGTATATGAGTTTACTGGTAATAAAGTTTGTAGATGATAAAAAATACATGAAAAACATTGAGGTAATTTTCTCATATGATAAAATTATTGTCTTCAGTGACAGCGTGCGTCTGGTCAATACCGATGGGGGTGTGCAGTACTTTAACGGCGACCGTACATTGGCCCGGTCTACATCTGGCAGGTGTGCCTGCGGCTTCAAACACTACTGGGACGGCAAGGAATACGACAACATTCCAGAGATGTATGATGTAGTTAGTGTGATGCACAGTGGTTTTTTGTCAAGATACTTTTTACTGCGAAATATCCATTTTTATCAAGGTTCTGAATAAAGGAAAACAACTTTTCACTTAACCCTTCCACCACTATAGACCATAATGAACTCATCCCTATAAATGCATGGTAGACTAGTCCACTAAAGTTACCTAGGGCTGAAAGGGTTAAATGTTATCTGGTTTTATCAGAGTTCACTTAGCAAGGTTTTTACCATATACTGTAAAAGTCAAAATTTCCATGCTGTGGAAATTTTGTGCCATTGAAATTTTCACTGATTTCCTAGGATTTCCTACTTTGCCTGTTGTTTCTGTTTCACGTCACAACAAAGAAAATAACAATACTGAAACTCTGGCGACTGTTAAGGCTTTTGAGCCTGTTGTATAATTATTACTTCTGAATTATTAGCCTTGGTGTATATCAAGAGAAAATTTAAATGCATTTTGATTTGTATATATCTGCACAAAAGTATTTCCTGTAGGCGTACACGAACATAGCAATTATTGGAGCGGTTTTCTACCTGTAGATTCCCTGTGACCCTACAGTGGAACGGTAAAGTGGTCGAGGAGAAAGTGGCCTGGTTCCAGTATGAGACAGACCCGACCATGAACAGTAACGTGTTCCAAGTATCACAAAAACTAGTCCAGAAACATTTTCCAGGTAATCAAGTAATGGATGAGAATATTTACAGTCTAACCTCGATTTCATGTCCACCAGAAACTAGTCCAGAAACATTTTCCAGGTAATGAGGAGAATATTTACAGTCTAACCTCGATTTCATGTCCACCAGAAACTAGTCCAGAAACATTTTCCAGGTAATCAAGTAATGGATGACAATATTTACAGTCTAACCTCGATTTCATGTCCCACAGAAACTAGTCCAGAAACATTTTCCAGGAAATCAAGTAATGGATGAGAATATTTACAGTCTAACCTCCATTTCATTTTCCACAGAAACTAGTCCAGAAACATTTTCCAGGTAATCAAGTAATGGATGACAATATTTACAGTCTAACCTCGATTTCATGGCCCACAGAAACTAGTCCAGAAACATTTTCCAGGAAATCAAGTAATGGATGAGAATATTTACAGTCTAACCTCGATTTCATGTCCACCAGAAACTAGTCCAGAAACATTTTCCAGGTAATCAAGTAATGGAGGAGAATATTTACAGTCTAACCTCGATTTCATGTCCACCAGAAACTAGTCCAGAAACATTTTCCAGGTAATGAGGAGAATATTTACAGTCTAACCTCGATTTCATGTCCACCAGAAACTAGTCCAGAAACATTTTCCAGGTAATGATGAGAATATTTACAGTCTAACCTCGATTTCATGTCCACCAGAAACTAGTCCAGAAACATTTTCCAGGTAATCAAGTAATGGATGACAATATTTACAGTCTAACCTCGATTTCATGGCCCACAGAAACTAGTCCAGAAACATTTTCCAGGAAATCAAGTAATGGATGAGAATATTTACAGTCTAACCTCGATTTCATGTCCCTCATTTCATGAGCCACCTGCTTCCTGCCAACTTCTTTTAATGTCACTTTTTTCTTGAAAAATTCTTCTTATGTGTCCCTCAATTTATCACCAAACCCCTTTTAAATGTCAAAATGACAAATGATGATAGTATAAAAAGGTTTTACTATATATTCTTAAAATATTTGTACATACATTGGGTAGTGTCATGTGTTAAGTTCAGTTATCAACAATATATTGACAATGTTTTCGTACTTTGATATTCAATAAAATATTTTCGTGTTTGCATAATGCTTGGAGATGTATTCATTGTGTGTTAAATTGTGTGTCTGTAATTTCGTTTGTGGATGAATTGCATAATGAGTATCTACTCTATTTGCAGGTGAATTTGGTAGTGAACGACTTGTCCAACAGGTAGTCGACACCATCTTACGCAACACTGCCAGTCAGGAGACCAGTCAACTGGAGGAAGCCGAGGGATCACAGGATGTTGACATGGCTGATGACCCTCTGTGGTCATCTGATATACCCTCTAAAATCATACTGACCGGTTATAAGGTAAATGTCATCCAATTTCATAATGACCAGCTATAAGGTATAAAAGTCATCCAAATTCTTAATGACCAGCTATAAGGTGTAAAAGTCATCCAAATTCATACAGACTAGCTATAAGGTAAAGGTCATCCAAATTCATACAGAATAGCTATAAGGTATAAAAGTCATCCAAATTCATACTGACTGGCATGGCTATAAGGTAAAGGTCATCCAAATTCATAATGACTGACTATAAGGTAAAGGTCATCCAATTCATACTGACCAGCTTTAAGGTAAAAGTCATCCAAATTCATAATGACCGGCTATAAGGTAAAAGTCATCCAAATTCATAATGACCGGCTATAAGGTAAAGGTCATCCAATTCATACTGACCAGCTATAAGGTATAAAGGTCCTTCTAATTTATAATGACTTGCTATAAGGTAAAGGTCATCCAAATTAATACTGACCAGCTATAAGGTAAAGGTCATCCAATTTCATAATGACCGGCTATAAGGTTAAGGTCATCCAATTCATACTGACCAGCTATAAGGTATAAAGGTCCTTCTAATTTATAATGACTGGCTATAAGGTAAAGGTCATCCAAATTAATACTGACCAGCTATAAGGTAAAGGTCATCCAATTTCATAATGATAGGCTATAAGGTAAAGGTCATCCAAAGTTGCAATCACTAATTTAGACTATTAATTGTATATAAGAAAATGACGAGTTGCTGTGAATATACGGGTAAATGATTTATTATGGATTTTTTGTTACGTACCGGTAGATATCACTCTGAAACGAACAAAAATATAAACAACTCCAACACCCATATGAATCAAAATTTGGGAATTCATCTTAAACATTGTTATTTTTTTTTAAAAATATAATTGTTCAAATAAAATTATCTCACAATCAAGCAATATTTTAATTTAATGTATTGATGAATCAAGATGTGAAGCAAATCAATATGCAAGACATGATGCATGGAAATCAACATGTAGAAACTAGCATGAATCTGTGACATCACACACATTTTTGTACGTTTCAGCAAAAAACCCTACACAAAGAGGAGTTGACCATGAGTGAGACGGAGAAAAATGTTCGTAAGCAAGTGGAGAGTCAGGCTCCGAAACATCAACAGAGAAAGACAAAGGAGATTGCTGCCCTAGCCGCCAAGTCCAGTCCAAAAAAGGTCAGTCAAATTTATCTCGAAAAATGTATTGAAAGTATTAATTAAATGCAAATGTGACAACCTTGATACTATCTGTTTTGTTATTTAAAAACAAAATTGAGGCTGACTTAAAATATTAGTGATACTGGGGCAAAGTTGTATTCAAAAAAAGTTTTTATTGATAAAATCTATTGCATGTATATACCTGTTATAGTGTTACTGGGTGAATTCGGGTTATCTCAGTCGAGGGCTATGATTGCTGCTATCAAAATCCCAGCTGATGTACAAGGCAGGGTCGGGATGTTACAGAATCTTGGCCCAAGCCTCAGTAATTCAAAAATATAAATCTTTATCATAGTGTACAAGTATTCTGTTGGGCGTCAAAGGATTATTGCCTCTTTACAACTGAAACTATGTTTGACTTCTTACGCAAATTATGCAATTTCTGCCTCGTGTTCCCTCACTTAACGATCACATTTGCACTTACGCAGTATATACAGGATCTCAAAGATGTTTGAAGTTCAACATTCCTGAGTCGAAGGCTCAATGATTTATAGTTTTCCCGATGGTTCCGCAAAGTTTGAAACATCCCAAAATTTCACTGAACCTTAAATCACACCAGTCATGTTGTTGTTATAGTCAAAATCTGATATCACTGCGAAGAAAACAGAAAATGTCAGCCCTTCTCATGTTCCGATGGAAACTACACAAGCAACGAAGAATAGGCAGAAAAAGGTTCGCTTGGCAACTTCTGATGGAAGACAGGTAATAATGTACATTCCTAACGCCCTAGTCCTTGTTGTCGAATTTTCTTCTGAACATTTTATGAATATTTTTGCCTTCTTTTATGGGGAAACATGATATTGTTTTAAGTGCAGATATCAATTCTTAACTAATTTACAGACATTTATTTTGAACTCTTCACAAAACACGGCAGATTTGGACCAGTACTGACTTGGGAAGATGGTGTAAATGTTGTTTTTTCCCTGGGTGTTTTTGCAAATTTGTTTTAGGAAACAATATTTCTGCAAAACAAGCAACCAGCAAATTTTTTTGGTTCCGTAATATCTAATGTTAACATTAATATTTTAAAATTAATAATTTAATGTGTTTTTAGTGCCTTTCATCGTTTAAATATTGCACTAAATTATGATTGCATCAATTAAAGTTCTGAATATTGTTGTCTATTGCATATATTTTAATTTATCAATGTGCTACTATGTTAAAATTTGATAATGTGCTTATACATAAAAAATGTATGTTAAAATTTGATAATGTGCTCATATGTTATAATTTGATAATGTGCTAATATGTTAAAATTGGATAATGTGCTAATATGTTAAAATTGGATAATGTGCTAATTAATGTATGTACAATATGTAAATTCTTCTAAGGTAAAATTTTCTGCAGACTGAGTTGTTGCTTATACTCAAAGACTAGTTTTGTTTTGGAAGAAATGTGATGTCCTTTTGATTTTAATATAACTAAAGAATCAAGCTTAGTGCAGAAGGAATTTACACTGTACAGAATAAACATGCATTATATTAAGCAACTAAATCATGATTTCGCCAAATAAAGGTTGTGCACTTCTTTAATCATTAAGTAGAAGGTTCTTGTAAACACCCCATAATAACTTTCTGAATTTTAGCATTCTTTTTATAGAAAAATACTTAAGAGGTGTTTTTTCTCTCTTTAAAGGTCATGTTGACCCTAGAGAAGGATTTGACTTTTGATGACCTTCAACAAATGATTCAATCATCTGTTGATGTCCCTCCCCACCGACAGAAAATCAGGGTTGGGTTTCCACCGAAGGAGCTTAAGCCTCCGGCTGAATCAGATTCAGATCAAATTATCAACCTTCAACACGGAGACAAGATTGCTCTAGAGGTGCTGCCTGACCCTGTGTTACCTGCGGGAAGGTCAAAGTCGTTCAGTAAGTGTTCAAGGTCACTTCACTTAGAGGCTGATTACCTTGTAAACTAATTAGTGGTATCTTATTGCATTTCACAAGTATATCAAAGTTTTTTTTGTTTTTTTTTATTTAATTCAAAGGTGATGAGTTTAGTAATGTAATTTTTCAAATGAAATTAGTTCTGTCTGTTATTCTGCTTTGTGATTTATGTTTCAAAGTTGTATAATTTATGTTAATAAAGTGGTCATGGGGACACTGAAGCTTTGTATGATTTTAAAAAGACTTTTGATTTGTTTTGTATAACAAGGGCGTCAATAACTACTTATGACTTAGTACACAACTTTAGAGATGGTAAAATTATTTTGCAGGGAGGGGGATTTAATTTCGGTATATAAGCGTTCATTAATAGCATGAAATTAAATACCTAACGAAAGTTAATATCGTGAATATAGACAGATACAAGAATGACCTGTCTACTTTTACTGCTGAATAATAGAGATAAAACACCTATTGAATATTGTATTTTACATTATAAAACACTTCTCTGTTAATCAAATACAAAATTTCCCTCATGAGCGCAATATTGATACCTGACAATGTCATACAAAATTTAAACCCTGTGATCAAGCTCCACAAAATTATAAACAACTTCCGCGGTTTACAGTAATACACAATGTTTTAGGACTGGTGTGCTACAATCGGTTTGTCCTTAGATATACATCAAATATGTTTAATTTAAAGGTTTTCTTTTCTGTTTCTTGAAATCACAGACTGAAATATAAGGTGATATGTTTCTCTTTCCATTTAAAAATGAATGGTTTGATTATTTTAGGTGCTGTGTCCGCCTCGCCTGCAGCAAGCAAGCCGCGGTTGAGTTGGAGCCACTTTGAACAGGACACCCACCAAGCCTCGGCCGATACCCTCCTACAGAGTCTAAAGAATGCACAGGAAGGTTGTTACTTGTTGTTTGCGTCGTCAACACTACTAACTAACGTACCAATGGCTCTCTTAAACTGTCACATGTCTATATTACAGAAAATTCATAATATTACATTTTTTTTTTTTTTTTTTTTTTCAAATATTTTATTTCCCCCAGCCAAATATTATATATATATATATTACTGATAAGTTTATACATATAAATATATATAAAAAGATTGATAGGAACTGCCAGTGTTGGGAAGCCCTGGAGTCAGACAATAGTATTGCAATACTTGGAGAACCATTATGATCAGTATTGCTATACTTGTGGTAAAACCATTAGGATCAGTATTACTATACTTGTGGTAAAACCATTATGATCAGAATTGCTATACTTGTGGTAAAAACCATTATGATTAGTATTGCTATACTTGTGGTAAAACCATTATGATCAGTATTGCTATACTTGTGGTAAAACCATTAGGATCAGTATTACTATACTTGTGGTAAAACCATTATGATCAGAATTGCTATACTTGTGGTAAAAACCATTAGGATCAATATTGCTATACTTGTGGTAAAAGCATTAGGATCAGTATTGCTATACTTGTGGTACAACCATTTGGATCAGTATTGCTATACTTGTGGTAAAACCATTAGGATCAATATTGCTATACTTGTGGTAAAACCATTAGAGCCATACGTCAGATATGCAGGTGCTCTATAGTTATCACAATGACCGTCTGTCTTTCTGTCTGTCACAGGTCAACACTTTTGTTTCCGGAGATTATCTCGGAAGCCAAAAGACAAATCTTTCTGAAATTTGACATGGTGATACACTGTGAAATGTAGATGTGCAATAGGGGTTTTAAAAAATTTCAAAGGGCTAAGGTTAAGGCAACTCTTACTAAAAATAGATCATAGGGAGTACAGTCCTCATTTCGGAATCCTGACTCTAATCTTTTGAAGATTTAGCATGGTTTTACACTGTGATATGTAGGAATTTATTCCGTCTTTTCGTATTGCAGAGTAATCGTTCTTGTGAGCAGGTATTGATTGTTACGTCATTGGTTTGTGTGAGAAAATTACGTCGTTTTCTCAAAAATTGATGACATTACTCTCGCAAACAAATGACGTAACAATCAATACCTGCTCGCAAGAGAAGATAACTCTGCAATACGCAAAGACGGAATAAGTTTCTAAGGTCAAGTTCACTAAAAATAAACTGAGGGTTGGGAGGTGTTACTGTCAACACATGTCGGGGCCCTTGCAGACCTGTGGGTGTGTCAGTGTTGTAGTCATAATATGGATCTCCTTACCCCTCCTCAAAATCTGTAACTATACATTGGAAAGTAAGGGGAGGTTACTGTAGGTATGTAAAAACAACAGTGAACTCTCTAGTGTTTGACCTGCATTTGGACAGGGATCCTTAAGTTTAAAGGTTTTATGCATGAGTCAACTTCATTTCTCTTCAATACCATGCTATTAATTTATTATGGTGTACTTTGTCACTATTTTGAGCTGTTCACTTGTTATTAACTAATGCTTTTTTGTTATCTTGCATGCTATATCGCTATTGTTATTATGTCCCCAATCTTTATTGTTTGTTTCTAACTTCACAGCTAATGACACTTTAGATGCCAGTATTGCGTCGCTCGCGATCATGGCAACCATTTCTGGCAAGGATCTTTGGACCCAGGTACAGAGCATGCCTCATCTGTTCTCTGTTGGGGGTCTATTCTACAAACAGGTAGAGCGTGATCTCGGACTGGTGGATGGTAAACACTGCCAGCTTCCGTCTCTCGAAGGAAAGGTACAGTTTTTCATTTCATCATCATTTCTCTCCATTCTTAAGAAATTATTATGCATATAGTTGTTTTGTTGTTATTTAGAATTTGAAGAGAAAAAATGCATTTTCTATAGTTTTGATTTCAAAATTTCTTGTTCATCATCTAATAATGAGCAATATTGATTTTAGAACACATATTTTCAAATTTCTTGGAGAGTATTTGATATCTTAGAATGCTCATCTGAAATACCAGTTTTTAAGTACATATTTTTCAACAGATTCTGGAAATAAAAAGAGTTATTGTATGTTATTAAAGAAAGATTATTGTTCAGTCATAATTTTGATGCTCAAGTACTAACATCATATTATAAAGTCTTGATTGTCCTTTGTAGGTTTTCCGTTATAATGCCAAAGAAGGGAGACTTGAGCTCTGCATGGAACCTTATGGCCATTTCCAGGTAGAACCTGGCGTTGATAGAAAAGTGGCACAGCTGAAGGAACAGGAAGAGAAGATAACATTCGGAAGCAGTGGAGCTGTTAAACATGACACTAAAAGACAGGCGGCCTTTTCTGGTGAGGGACATTCCTTACAGGCCATGAATATTGAACGAATGCCTAGCAACATTCAAGACATGACTACCCATCATCACCATGGCAACCATCACAATACTGTCAGAAATATGCAGACAATGTGTAGTCCTAGCAAACATGAAACTGCTATACCTGAAGAAATGGTTACGGAGAGCTCTACGAAGGGGAATAACTCTAGTGAAGAAGGGAGGAAGTACCAGAGACTTGGGCCAGGCTACAGTGTTCTCGACCCCAATCTTGCTGACAACACCAGTCAGAATGCCCAGTTTTTCAAGGAAATTGCAGATAGTATGGAAAAATCCATGCAGGAGATTGATCAAGAGGTATTAATTTATGATTCTTTCCCCAACTTGGCTTCTTCACTGAATCTCAATGTGAAGACAGAAGATCTGTGACAACAGTCAAATGAGTAATAAAAAATTCGCTGTCAAAAGATTCCTTATCAAGAGCCATAAGGCAGCTTTTGATAAAACATTGAATCACCCTTTTGGAGTATAAAATCTATGTTGGTTGATATAAAGCACTTTATAAACTGAAAGTTGGGTTCCTGTTGTAATGCAAATGTATGAGGTCCATTCTGGGTGACACATCTTCTTTATAGAATCATGACGAACTACAATTTTGAGGACAAAAAATGTATGCAAGTCATTATCAAATTTTATATTTTACTTCTCAGATGGAACGTATTGATGATGACGAACAGAAGAAGCAGTTTCGTGGCACAGCTGCAAATGTGATTGCTGAAGCACGACCCGAAGTCAACGTCCAGCCTCGTGTGCAACTTGAAAATAAGGACATAGTTAGGTCGTCTACGACAGAACAGTCGTCGGCTGACTTGACGCTTCCTGATGCTTTAGAGATTGAGAAGAATCAAGAAGAAGTTCAAACGTCAGAAAGTTTAAATGTTGGAATTTCAGATGGAGAAAAACCAGACACTGAAAGTGAAAGTGAAAGTAAAAGTCCTATTAACGAATGTATTGATATTAGTGCTTCTGGGGTTTCAGAAACTTGTTCTTCTCAAACACCTTCTACCGTGGAAATTCCTGGTGCTGGTGCCTTGCCAGAACTAGAGGAAAAGGAACCAGAGAAATCCCAAGAGATAATATATGACAGAGTCGGGGATTTCACAGTAACAAGTGCGGACACCCTGGAAAAAGACAAAAGAGCGGATAGTGAAACGACACAGGACAGCTCTTCAACAAAACCAGAAAATGTTGAAGAGGAAACAAAAATGGCCAAGTCTCATGACATTGTATAGTTAACACAACTTGGCTAGTGTGAAGCACTGTAAACAAACTTGTATTGGCCAATGCATGTACCTCGGTCTACAATTTAAGTAAGAAAGTCATTTAGTGGATCAACCCTTTTCTGAAACCAACATGTGCATGTGCTGATACTGTCAAAGTCATGTTTTAGTGGGGTTCTAATTTTTCGTGATTTTCGCAGTGACAATTTTTCCATGAAAAATACAACCCCTCTCTTACCATCGGACTAAGTGTCATGGCTAGCAAAGCTAAAAATACGAAAAAATTAACCTTTTAGTACAAATCCTAAAAAATCATATTAAAACCAGCAGTGTATAGGTCAAGCTCTAGAACAGCTGACCTGCAGTGTATAGGTCAAGTACTAGAACAGCTGACCAGCAGTGTATAGTTCAAGAACTAGCAAAGCTGACCAGCAGTGTATAGGTCAATTGCTAGCACAGCTGACCCGCAGTGTATAGGTCAAGTACTAGCACAGCTGACCAGTAGTGTTTAGGTCAAGTACTAGAACAGCTGACCAGCAGTGTATAGGTCAAGAACTAGCAGAGCTGACCAGCAGTGTAAAGGTCAAGTACTAGAACAGCTGACCAGCAGTGTATAGGTCAAGCTCTAAAACAGCTGACCCGCAGTGTAAAGGTCAAGCTCTAAAACAGCTGACCCGCAGTGTATAGGTCAAGAACTAGCACAGCTGACCAGCAGTGTATAGGTCAAGTACTAGCACAGCTGACCAGCAGTGTATAGGTCAAGAACTAGCACAGCTGACCAGCAGTGTATAGGTCAAGTACTAGAACAGCTGACCTGCAGTGTAAAGGTCAAGCACTAGAACAGTTGACCAAGTACTAGCACAGCTGACCAGTAGTGTTTAGGTCAAGCACTAGAACAGCTGACCAACGGTATATAGGTCAAGCACTAGAACAGTTCACCAGTAGTGTATAGATTGGACAATACAACAATTGAACATTAGTGGAACAGTACAAGTCTTATACTAAAACAAACAATTTGACCTGTTTATTATGATAGAAGAAAATTCATCAAAAGAAAATTGCTCAAGAAAGACAATTGACATTGTTACACAATTGCAATGTCATACATGGCCAATATACTATGTCATGCATGAGTAATGTTCAAAGTCATACATGGTAAATATACTATGTCATACATGAGTAATGTTCAATGTCATACATGGTAAATATACATTGTCATACATGAGTAATGTTCAATGTCATACATGGTAATTATACATTGTCATACATGAGTAATGTTCATTGTCATACATGGTGTCATACGTTATCATACATTGGTCATGTAGTGTTATACAGTAGTGTTATACAGTAGTGTTATACAGTATTGTTATACAGTAGAACCCTGGTCATCTAGCCCAAAAGTTGGACAATTTGAAAATGCATTTTTCTTAGGAAATGCTAATGTACAACATTTCTGCATTCGTCAAGAAAAGTCACCATTTCAAAGATATTCTTTTCTCTTCAAAAGTGTCCAGACTATGAAGTGTATAGGTCAAGAACTAGCACAGCTGACCTGCAGTGTATAGGTCAAGAACTAGCACAGCTGGCCAGCAGTGTATAGATTGGACAATGCAACAATTGAACATTAGTGGGACAGTATAAGTCTTATACAAAAACAAACAATTTGGCCTGTTTATTATGGTAGAAGAAAATTCATAAAAAGAAAATTGCTCCAGAAAGACAATTGTACATTGTGACACAATTGCAATGTCATACATGGCCAATATACTATGTCATACATGATTAATGTTCAATGTCATACATGGTAAATATACATTGTCATACATGGTGTCATACGTTATCATACATTGATCATGTAGTGTTATACAGGAGAACCCTGGTAATCGAGCCCAAAAGTTGGACAATTTGAAAAATGCATTTTTCTTAGCAAATGGTCATGTACAACATTTCTGCATTCGTCAAGAAAAGACCTTCTTTTCTCTTCAAAAGTGTCCCGAGTACAAAGATAGAACTGCATGTTATGAGCTAACAACATATTTATTTGTCCTAGAACCACAAATTAGGTTAAGATTATTTATTATGACGATATATTACTTAATGTGTATACTTCAGTATTTCATGTTGCCATATTTCTAGGTCTTCAGAGCCAAACACTGTGACCTAATGCCATCAATGTGTTTGTCCATCTCTGTGTGCTATGCATTATCATTTCACATTTTCCAATTCTTCTCTATAACCAGTTGAAAAACAAGATATTTGTCAAATCTTTTGATAGTGTGCCTTTTGCTTTCTGAAGTGAAAGGCTGTCAGCTTTGTCCAATTGATTGACCTTGACCTTCTTTCACAGGTCATGGGGGTAAATATGTTAAAAAATTAAACAACTTCTTCTTAAGAACATTAAAAAGGCCTACATTGATAATGATTGGGTTGTATCTAGGATGGCTATCAGATTTGTTCAAGTAAATTACCTTCACCCAGTTTTAGGTCTAGTATCTTTTAAAAACTTCAAATAGTTTCTTTCAATGATCCAAAAGGCCTGGAGTAATTATATTTGTGATATATATAGCTAGGATTAAGGATGAACGCTAACACAATTTTTGGATGAATTATGTTAACCCACTTTCTAAGGTAATTTCCCAAATTATCAAACAATTTCTCCGACAGAGATACATAATGTCTAGTATAAACATCATGTTTTATATATATATATATAAAAAAACCATCATTTTTATAATCATCTTAAATTTGACTCGAATATATTCCAGATGGGTTAACGTTTGACTCACTTTAAAACATAGCATTGATTTAATACTTTTTAATCCACTCACCAAAGTAAACTATATATCAACTACATATGTTTGGTCATTAAATAATATCTAAGAGCCATTAAATAATATCTAAGAGCCATTAATTATTGTGCTGTGAATAAGTTAATTGATAAAAAGATCCAGGAATAAATACCCTAAAATCTTTATAAGAAGCCCCGGCTTATTGTCATTTTAGAAAGAAATACCAGGCTTATTTTCAATGCTTGCTTATTTTCATTTTAGAAAGAAATCCAAGGCTTATTTGCAAAGCTGGCTTATTTTCATTTTAGTACGGAAACCCAGGCTTCTTTTCGAAGCCTGCTTATTTGCAATGAAGTCTTATTTTTGAAATCATTTAGGCAGTAAGCCATCAGTGGCTTATCTTCCAGTCCTTCTTTTTTTTGCATGGAAAAATAACAATTTTCTTCAGAAAATCAAATTAATTTCTCTTTTTTTCTTATAAAATTGATGCAATAGTAAGTCATGTGAAGTTATATTTACTTGTAAACCTGTTTAGGTTGACTATTTTCAAAGACTTCTTTTTATCAAGATATATTTGACTGCAAGGAATCCAGGGCTTACTTTCAAAATATGCCTATTTTCAGATCAGGCTTATTATCGAGATTTTAGGGTGAAATATTTTGTTTCCGTCAATAGCAGCATTACCTCATTCTGAAATCAATTTGACGATTGCTCAGGCCTGTATGTTCAAATATAGAGTCTTAGGCCAATTTGAGTACCTATTTATTCATTTTTATACTTGGTAATAGATTACAGCATATAGGCATTGTCAATACATCTATAGAAATAAATCAATGTTGTGAACTTAGGAGGATATGGAAATGATCAGAATTTGTTATGGCTGATGAAAATCATTTTTTTTGCCCTGTATGATGTATGCATCAGTTGTACCAATTTCATAATCGATATAATTGGTTCCATACTGAACTGAAGTGTCAAATATATGTAAAGTTTGCATTGAAAGTCATTTATTGTTAATATATGATTGATGGTAATGTAAAAAAAATAATGGAAGTGTAGAAAAAACCCACCTTTAAACAGATTGCCCATCACTAATCAGAATAATTCTACAGTCAGTTTTCGAGGAATTTCTTTAAAAACAGGATAGCCCTCCACCACTGGATCGCGGGTTCAAGGCCTATGTGGGGCAGTCGCCAGGTACTAGCCGTAGGTCGGTGGTTTTTTCCCCGAGAACTACGGCTTTTCTCCACCACCAAAACCTGGCACGTCCTTAAATGACTATAGCTGTTAATAGGATGTAAAACACAAACAAACCAAACCAAATTCTAGCAATGCGGCTTACCTTCTCAACTGATATATATGAAACTTTGTACACAAAATAAGCATTTCAGTAATTCTGCCCTTGAGATTTATAACTTATTTTCGGCTGTTTTATGGGAGTTATGTCCCATTTCTGATAAATTTTTATTTGGGAGTGATGGGTCTGTGACATATAGGTCTAGGCGAGGAAGTCGACAAGAACACTTAAGGTATTTACTAATGATCTTTTGAAAGAAATACGGTTTCTAAGCCTTTTCTTCATTTCATTTGATGACATTGACCAAAAGCAAACTTTAGCATTGTTTTCGTCATTCAATAACAGCTTATTGTCAACTTATTTTGAGCTTCCCATTTTTCAATGATCATTTACAAGAGACTCTTAAAGCTGATGTTGGGTGTTCTGGTTGGAAATCGGCATTGAATGTTTATGTTTAGCTATATTTTATAAATTTGTGACTTCTGAGGACTTTACAGACCCAGTAATGTTCATTTAACTCATTCACCCCTGAAATTTCATAATGAACTATTCCAACCTTTGAATTGGAAGAGTTCAAATGTGTCTTCAGGAGTGAATGAGTTAAACTTATATGTGATTGTTATACATACTTACATCATTGTGTATGGTTTTTAATCTCATGATAAAATTAATGTTTTTGTTGTCATGAAATTATTTAACATGTGCTACGCTTTCCAAAAGAGGATCAAGGATGTGTTTGATATTATAAGCCTAGGTATTGTTTATATGGTAGAGACACCAGCATACCCACAGGGCTCATTTACTGCACTAAACAACTGGAGCCATCTTTGAATGTGTGTGTGTTTATTATATCTGTGGAAATGTTTGTAAAGTTGTTTAAGAAAGGGCTCTTTAAGAGTTATTAATTCAGTGAAGAATTGTAATTTTCTACAATTTATATCAAAGAAACTGTGATTTAATGCTTAATTTTACTGAAAACGTGTTGTAGTACCAGTTTATGAAAAATGTAGAATTTGGCAAATAATTGGTGGTATTGGTACTAGTTTCATAGGCTGTAAAATAATGTAATTTCTGAACTCTTTTTTATTTGTACATTCTACACAAATGTACTTGAGGAACATAACATTGGTATATATATATATATTTGCCAGCGTTGTCATTGGAAACAAAGCTTCTTCCCATGTAGCAATTGCTTTTGTTGAGTTTCGTTGATTTCTTTAATTCTAGTTTCCCTCCAGAAATCCTAACATTTTTAATATTGTGTATAGCCTTTTATTTCACACAGTGTTATTTTTTAATTGATATGAGAAAATTCCAGTTCATGCAGTGTTTCATTTATGGTTCAGATTGTTCTGCAGGATTACTACAAAAGTTTGCTATTATGTTGAATGCGTGAAATCTTACCAAAAATATCACTAGTGTAAAAATTATCCTGAATATTAAATATGTTATCAATGTTCCAAAAAAAAAAAGTTCTAATTTACATAAGATGTCAGATGTGTGACGATTACCATGGTAACAGAGGTCAAGGACAGTTACCATGGTAACAGAGGTCAAGGCTGTCTTGTACATTGTTTAATGAGGTAACTCCTAACAGAATTTGTAGTGCCTGAGTGAACGCGTGTTTGATAAGCACTATAAATTACACATGCTACTGTCGTGTGCCAATGTCAGCTTTTTATTTCATTATTAAATTATCCATGCATCAGAGTTCGTTTTCGGATTCAGTTTTTTTGTGGGTCTGCCATACATGTGATGACTTCAGACCTCATGTAGAAAGATCGTCACCTCCACTGGTAGACAGATTGAGGTTTTGGTAGGGAGATTTCCATTACAAGCATAATGTTTGCCAGAATCAGAATATTGAATTTTCTTCCATATAGAACAATATTCATAAAGTCAGACTTAACTCATTCACCCCTGAAATTTCATAATGAACTAGTCCAACCTTTGACTTAGAAGTGTTTAAGTGTGTCTTCAGGGGTGAATGAGTTAATTATGTAATTGCTACTGATCCAATGCTTTCTAAACAGAAAAATCGCTTATTGGTGTTTATAGACACTTTTTCTTACTTTGCAATCAGTTGTGAGGGAGATTCTGTAACTTTAGATAGAGTTTAAGTGTTAAAAGTAAAATGTAGAGAGACTCCCCTTGAAATAGGGAGATATCACATGTGTGAGTTTATGGGTGATCAATGGGGAGTGGGGGATTGGGAGGGGGGTATCACATGTGTGAGTTTATGGGTGATCAATGCGGAGAGGCCGATTCGGATGGTAAAGTGACATTTATGTATCGTTCCTCATCTTTAGTGCTATCAGATACCAAGGAAATCATGCTGATTTTAGTAGGATTTTAATATTCTCATCAGGAGAAACAGTATTATGATATTGTAATATGGAATTTTAGTCACTTTCTTAGTTAGTTCCAAATGACATGTTGGATAACTCTCTAATGCAAAAAATGTTGATTGTATCTTATGTCAGGTAGAACAAAATATATTTTAGCGTCGATGTACAAAGAAAAATTAGATCTTGAAGTTAATAAGGAAACTTGGGAGGTTTTAAAAGCAAATTGAAAGACATCACTAACCCCTACAAAAATTTTGTCTTAACTCATTCTTCCTTGAAGACAAAATTTGAACTCTTCCAATTCAAAGGTTTGAATAGTTTATCATAAAATTTCAGGGGTGAATGAGTTTATGGCATGTCAATTCAAAGGTTGGAATAGTTCATTTTGAAGTTTCAGGGGTGACTGAGTTAAAAGTCAAAAAGACAAAATAGATGTTTTAACACTTTATCACTGGCACAAGAAATTGGGATTGAGCACGAAAATGGTCTCACGAATACGCACTTGAGTCAAGGAAATCATTTTTATCGTAATTAATACATACCACTGTCACTTGTTTAAGCCCTTTGTGGTAACAAATATCAATAAAGCATCTAATCGGTGACACAGGACACTAGACATTAGATCTATGTTAACATTCAAAACGGAAACTGATATGCCAAGTGAGCTTATGTCATGGTGGGTCAACTTTTAACAACATCTGAAGAACAAAGTAGCTTAGGGTTATGATATTTTGCCAGTAGCATGCTAGGATGAAGCATGCTATCACGTTTATTCAAATAAATGACCTTGACCGTGCTTCAAGGTCAAATGTGTTTAAGACTTTAAACAACTTCTTTTGAACAACCAAGAAACCTAGGGTGATGACGTTTGGCCAGCACCATGCTGGGATGAAGGGCTATCAAGTTTATTCAAATAATTGACCTTGACCGTTCTTCAAGGTCACAAGTGTCGTATGTTCAAAACTTTAAACAACTTCTTTTGAACAACCAAGAGACCCAGGGTGATGATATTTGGCCAGTACCATGCTGGGATGAAGGGCTATCCAGTTTATTCAATGGCTTATGGATCAAATGTGTTTTTTAAAAAAAACGTTTAGCCGCTCTCTGTTATGTTCTCTAGACCCCTAGAATAGGTAATGACAAAATCAAAGACATACGTACAGTTAGCTATTTGATTGGTTTCAGGTAAAAACAAAATGACCAATCGCCAGGCTAATACCATTAATTCTCCTTTGAAATCTAACAGAGGAGCGATGTACAACATAAAATCCAGTCGATTTACAGTTATGCAGCCGCGCGAATCTTTTGATTTACATCTTCTTATCAAACTACTCTACTTGTATCGTCCACAAGGTGGCGCTTATAGATTCTTCTATTTCGTCATTGCGTATTCCTGGGGTGCATAGACTGTAAGTGAGCGTAAGCAACCCTTGGAAATTCGAAGAGGTCTCTGGAATCTGATGGTCTGAAAAATGCAACCGCCAATCTTCCCCAATCCTTCTTGGAATACTGTATTCGCCACTGGAGATAATCTTATGGTAACGGCCATTGGTACCAATTTATCTAAATTTTGCAGTTTAATTTCAGTGACGTGAACAGACAACAAAGGCAGGGTATTTTCACGACAGTACTGCATCGAGACTAGACCATGTACCAGCATATATAGTATGGTACCTTGTTAGGGCTATATTTAACGCCCCATAAATATTTCAAAGAAACACGAAATATAGCGAAAACGTAATATCTTAAGTACAAGTTCGCCCGTAGCTATTTCGAATTTGATGTTACACAGTAACGGCAAAATTTAACACTGTGCCTATGGGAAAGTGATATCTCAACAACTGAGCTACGATTATTAATATAGATACTAGAGGCAACGCTGGATAAGTCAGGATATAAAACAGGATATGAAGCTTTAACAAAATTGGATATCAAACGAAGTCACGAACTTTTTTGAATAAATAACAACAACATAGAATCAAGTGGGGAAATGACGCAACGCAGAAGATAGCTATTTCACGATTTCGCGATATTAGACAAGGACAGAAACTTATCATGGTCCCAACAGGCTTCCATAATTGTAGTATGGCTGTTCAACAAATGTGCCTCAAAAAAGACTCAAACTTATAGAAACGACAAGGCGAAAGCTGGAATCGAAGAGATACCGAAACAGACCTTAAACGTTTATTTAAAGCACTTAAATGTCAGATAATAATGCTATACACCAGGAATGGTCTCAAAATAATGTTGTATCTTGATTATCATGTCCCATGTGAACGATTGTAAAACTCAATTCTGTTTCTCATCCCATCTTCGATGTTTTATCATAATTATCGGCTTTTTTTAACGATTATAGCGGGGCTACGACAGAAAGGTCGGACGCATTTTTGGGAGGGAGATTTGAAAACTTTATGTGTTGTACAACTTCACGCGAAAATAAGTTTAAAAGACTGTCGAAGTCAAGTCGTATGGCGGAATAACGACCGTCGTATCATCCCATATGATTGAAGTTACAAGAAAATCGGCATAGGACAGTTCTGCGATGCTCGGCTGTTGCGGCTATTGTACCGTCGCTCAATCTCGACAGCTCTAGTTACGACTATATAGCCTGTGCACGACTGTCGTAACTTAGAGAGAGTGGTAATATTTACGTGTTAACATTGGTAGAACGGTCTTGGATTTAAAAAAAATAATTAACGTATGGCAATCGTAAAACTCTGAGGGCCTGTGATGATCCCCGAAAACGTAGGTCTATCGTAACACAGTCGTAGGGTATTGTATGACAGACCTACGAAATAGGCCTGACGTTCCAAAACTCTACGCAAAGGGTCAAAGACATTATTTTTGTCGCAAATCACTCGAATTTCGTATGACACTCCCACGACTGTCCTAGGATTTTCCACACTGTTCTGTCGTAGACCTGTTGTGAGACGTTTATATATGTGAAAAGTTTTTAATATAGAAAATAATTAGCAACTTCATTCATGACATTTACATCATTTTCCCCCTTTTTAAGGGGTTCAACTTTGAAGTATAATAATAAACACACATCTTGAGAAATAATTTCTTGGCATATTTTTAATATAACTGAAAATTATCTTTATTTGAGGTCTTTTTCCCTTTAAAAAAAAAGAGGTGGTTGTTGTTATGGGGGATATGAATTACTTCTTAAGAATAAATTAACTCAATTTCAATGCGCCCCTGATTAAACACATACGACTTAATTTGATGTCAAGACAAGATAAGTAACCGGGAGTCACTAGGAAGAACAGGTCAGACAGCAGGTACTAAGGGAGATAATCAGTCAGATATGAAAGTATATTAAGATTAAGTTATCTCCCCTCCCGGAAGACGTCGTCTGCAAGTTTTATATTTTGTGTACTAGGAACTTGACGCTCAAAAAGCACAAATCACGGATTGAAGTTTCCATTTATTTGTTTTGTACAGTTGTAAGTATATGTTGATTCCATATGTTGATTAATTGAAAGAGAATTCTATCGTTAAACGGGATCATAGATAGATATCTTTTACGTTACTGTAAGCTTACTCTCAACTCTTCATTCTTTCTTATTTTTAGTTTTACAGAAAAAAACGATGGCGAATTGTATGAAATCTACACTACTTGTCTTTAACATTATATGTCTGGTAAGTACAAAATTGTATTGTCATAATCATAATCTGTCTAATCCTGTACAATGTATAATGTTGTTAAAGTTAAGGTCCACAGCACAGGGACCTGAGCTTTCGTTACATATTATATTTGGACCTAAACTAAAGTGTTCAGAGTAATTTTGCATGTTTTAGGGATTTAGATAGACTTTCGGTAAAAATGACACCCTCAATGATAATAAACCCCTAAAACATTAAAAAAAACTACGATGAACACCTTAGTTTAGGTCCAAATACTGTGGTCCACAGTAGTTAAAGCGGTCGATCTTAGTTTCCTCAAAATTTGAAAAGAAGTTTCCTCAGTTAGAAAATAATCTTGTTACCACTGTAAAAAGCTCTGCAAAACTTATGCTATTTATCCCCTAGGAGTCAAAATAAAATTTATCTTAGACTATTTGAGTTTACTATTGAGCAAGTGTCTCGAATCGATTGGCTCGTTTTAATAGCCGTGCTCAAGTCCGAGATTGAAAAAAGAAATCACAGGAAAAAATCCATTTCTAAGTAATCACTTGTGTATCAACTCATACTTTTAAATCACCACTAGGCAATTTCCACAATTGTTTATGGGATAATTGCACAGGAGTTTAAAATATTTTGTTTGTACATTATTTAGACAATACTACGGAAGATACTGCTTATCTCTATTCAAGAGTTAAGTGTTCCCATTCAATATTTTCTTGACAGAATAATTAATTTAATGACTTGCCAAAAGTATTTCGTCACCATAATTATTCTACCCTATTGGATTCTATGTGACTGCGCCTCAATTTATTTCTCATTCAGTTTATACAGAAAATCTGTATAACGGAAGAAAATAATCTAGAGCTCATCAATTTAAACGTTCATAATGTTTAGTTTCTAGGTTATTTATTAATCATGAATAAATTATGGCAATTTTTTTCAGATGTAGATGTTTCCTTCTTAACGTCAAAGTGACGTTGCTGAAATTTAACTTCAAACGCAATCGTTGCTGTCTCTTTAAGTAATAAAAGAAATTGATGATGATCTGAAAAAAATATGGATTAATTGAAAAAATATGATGAGAATAACTCACCAGAAAAAATAGTGTAAGTACAAATACAATTATAGTATAAATTTGAAAATCAATTTGTGATTGACGACTTTTGGTGCGTCATTTACAATATTCCGTCTTTGTGTATTGCAGAGTTATCTTCTCTTGTGAGTAGGTATTGATTGTTACGTCATTTGTTTGTGAGAGCAACGTCATCAATTTTCGAGAAAACGGCGTAATGTTCTCACACAAACCAATGCCCGACCAATCAATACCTGCTCACAAGAGCAGATAACACTGCAATACGAAAAGACGGAATAGAGAATGTAGAGTATCAATGAGAATAATACTTCCATTTTGTACTTTGCTCTAATAACATTAAAATAACAACTCAGTTGGCAGGACTAGGGGTGTTAGGACTAGGCTTTTGGGTGATGCTGGAGGGGTCAAAGTTCCTTATCCTTTTGGAGGCCAGCCTATTGTCCAAAGCGTCCTACATGCTGATTGCTGTTGGGGGATTCATCTCATTCATATCGCTGATTGGTTGCTGGGGAGCGCTCACTGAAAACAGATGTCTTCTGGGAAGTGTAAGTATATACAATAGACAATCGACGACTTACCTATGTTCAAGCTTTTGTAACAGGAACAAGAGAAATGCACGGCCAGAATTGGATTCGTACCCAAGACCCCTCGAACTCTATACGGACGCTCTACTTTTTACTCATTTTTATGCGTTGGTTAATTGAAAAAAAGATACTTTGATTCATTTCTTCTCCATTAAATGTACAAAATAAACCAATAAATAATTTGATAATGACAACACTAGTGCTGGTGACAATTTTGTCAGGTGGGGTAAAAACAGCCGTTTTCTTTGGCGTGACGTCACCGGAGGTTGGACTGCGTTTAACTTGCTTGCAGACATCCCTCATCCACCCATAATAGGAGAGGGCTTGTATAGGCATTACGCCTGTTGCCCAATTCCTTTTGAAATTTGTATAAGATGCAATATTATAAAAAAAAAAAAAAAATATGAAATGAAAATCCACCCATACACACAATTCTCCCATTGTTTCATGTCTTACACCGATTTATACATAAGTATTATTCATGTTTCTGAATGACTGGTAATGTTGTTTTTCTGTTTTGCAGTATTTCACCTGCCTACTTCTAATTACGTTATTACAAGCTGCAGCCGCTGTTTTGGGCTTCATGTTCTTCGACAATGTACGTACATTTTTCAGTATTTTATATGTGGATTAATACTTTTAAAGTTATCGACTAAATTAATTTATTGAACCATATTTTCATTACATGCTTCCCCTTTAAAGTCGATGGGAAGTCGGATTTGCATAGTCCGAATTATTCTGACGTTTTATCGACTTTTTTCATATCGGTCTGTCGTCGGTTAATCGACTAAAGACCGCTATGAAAAAAGTCGATAAAACGTCCGAATGATTCGGACTAGATTTGCATAGCCTTTGTATGTTTGTCTTTCGTTCTATTTCTCTGTCTTTTTCTTTGTCTTCATCTGTGACTGTCTGTCTGTCTGTAATATTTATGTCCATTGCTGTCATTAGTGGCTGTCTGCCTGTCTGTCTGTCTGTCTGTCTGTAATATTTATGTCCATTACTGTCATTAGTGGCTGCCTGCCTGTCTCTGTTGAATTTTCCTCCTTTTTTTTTGTCTCATAAAGCGTCATTTAATAGTGATTTTGTATCCATTATATTGTTATATATGTACAGGATATATATTGTGACATTTATTGACCAATATGATATAAATGGGAGACATTTTCAGACTAGCTACCTATATAAATAATGGATTTTCACATTCTTAAGATTTTGTTAAAACACTGCATGGATTCGAATTAATATATGTCAAATAAGATTAGTTAATCTTACTAAAATCTTTCCAATAAAATGGGGTGGTTTTTTTTTCATGCAGGTGGAGAGCTATCCTGATAAGTACGTAGGAGACGCTATTCTAAAGTCGTACAGCTTGGCGGGGAAGAATCTGGTCACTACTGCAATAGATACCCTGCAGGATAAGGTACGTTTCACTGAGGCCAATTTTAATTGATTGCCTATCGAAATAAAGTACATGTGTGCTGAACTCAACATGTCGGTTGTCTTGACAAGAATAACATTTCATTGTAGTTTTTCTATTTATTTCATGTACAAAACTTCTGTTTTTTTTTCCTACATATATTTTTGTGGATTGAACCAGTGATATCGTGTCAGACTCATAAGAAACCCCCTAAAACAAATAGGATAATTATCGCTATAAATGTGATTTTGATAGGACATTTGGTAAAGTATAGTGGCTTTAACAAATCGAATCATGTTGAAAATTAAGTTGTCGACTGATTTCCTATGCCTGTCCAGAATTACTATGGACGAAATCACGAACAGCTGCAGTAGACAGTTGTCTCCCTTGCTATGTTTAATTAGAATCGGTGATCTATTTTGATCAAACATGACATGGACAGGGGCTTAGCTAGCCTTTGTTAGGAGTGGATTCATTTAGGAGTGGGTCTAGGACAGGGCCTTGGTAGGGGGACAAAGGGGTACAACAAGCAGTGTTTTTGTTTTGTTAAATTCTGTTTGAAAATTTGGTAGATTCACCTGTGAACTAGCGTATAGAAGTCTATACGCACCTTATGGGTATAGTTGTTCATAGCTATGCCATGCAACCCCATTCAGTTTTGTTCAATTAGCTTCAAAATAAGGTATTTAAAATTAAAAAAAAAAAAAAACACCGGTAAAGACCAAAAGCACTTGTTGGATTTTATTTTGTGAAATCTTATACCGGCAATTTATCACATTCATGTTGTGAGTAGTATCCCAATTTAATGAAATGTTCTTCATAAAAATGAGAAATGTTCACCTCCTTCCACCCGTCTGTCTGGACAAGTAAACCTTAATCTTTTCCGGAATTCCTTAAACTTCACCGGTGTAATCATCACCTGTTCTCCTTAGACCAGACTATATATATATATATATATATATGTTTCCTGTTACATGTTGGAAACACTTAGGGTAGGTAGGTAGGGAACACATTTTATTTTTACAAATAATTTCATATGGTTTATATAGGAGAGTTTAACAGTGCTTTTTGAAAAATGCCTTAAAAAGTTTAGGGTGGGCACAAACAAATAGGGTTGGTAGGGTTACCGGATTTATAGGAGTTATGCCCCCTCTACAAAATATTAGCCAAATCTGATCTAATTTTTTTTCATGCTGTAAGGTTTTGCACCTAGGCTAATTTTACGACCTGACTTTTTTATAGAAGTTATTCCCATTTTGCAAAATGCTTATCCAAATCTTGTCGACAGTATCCGTTATCGGTTTCAATGAAAAAGAAATGACGTTTCACAGACATAACAACCACACTCTACAGTTATATGCAACAACGCTCATTTTCTCTTATGTTTATTTATTCAACGTCGAGAGTTATGCCCCTTTTCCTATTTCTGTTTATTAAAAAAATATTATAGAATGAAAAAAAAAATAACCATAGTAATAATTTGTGCTATCGAATGGTGTTCTGGTAATATAACTGTTATGTCAGTTACATTAGTCTGAGTTTACTCAGGGAGACTTCTATTACGTTTGACTTTTTGTACCTGTTTTAGTTTAGTTGTTGTGGGTACAACAGCCCGTTTGACTGGGGACATTCTGAAACCTTCAACACTTCCGTGGTGGCTGTCCCGATCTCTTGCTGCTTCAACCAGAACGAGCCGATGTGTAACGAGCAGGTTCTTCCCACAAAGATCCACATCAAAGTACAGTCCTGTTGTTTTTATCACAAAATTCCCAGTTGATCAAGTTTGATTTGCTGACGGCTGAATAAAGATAAATGTTCAAATATTCAATACAAAAACAATATTGTATTAGTGGTATTGTGTAAATAGATTTTCTCACGTAGGTCATTATTAATCCAAAGTCCTGGATGGGACCATTTTTATACTATATTTTTTTATTGGTAGTTTCACAATTTATTGTATTTGTTATACTGTACATGTATGTATGAACTTGATGCTCTTTTTATCCATTCAGGGATGTAAGACAAAACTGGTTTCCTGGCTGAAGGACAATGTACAGGTGATTTCAGCTGTGTCCATCTGCGTAGTGTTTATCCAGGTAGGTGGTGTGTACAGTTGTCAACTGATATATGCTAATGAACAACTAAACTGTTACATTATATTATTGGTACAAGCAATATTATATATGTATTTATTGTGCAATACAGTATTTACACTGCAAGGGTGGCGACGGTGTAGACAAATGTACATACTACCGTTGTGACTGTGTTACGTATTCGTAATGTCTTTAAAAAGGTCGCTCAGGAAATTTGAAAAGTAAATTTGTTTGCACTTAAGATATTACTGAAATGCCGTTTTTAGTGGTGTTTTTTTTCTCACATGGTTTGAAAAAATCTAAATTTCTCATGAGACATGGGATAGAATTTTGGTCTCAAATATATTAGCAAAACTTTCATATATCTTGATAACATATAACTGTTGCTTATCATATATAAACCTATATTTCTTGATATCATATAACTGTTGCTTGACATACATAAACCTATCATATATCTTGATAGCATATAACTGTTGCTTGACATAAACCTATCATATATCTTGATAACATATAACTGTTGCTTATCATATATAAACCTATCATATATCTTGATAACATATAACTGTTGCTTATCATATATAAACCTATCATATTTCTTGATAGCATATAACTGTTGCTTGACATGCATAAACCTATCATATATCTTGATAGCATATAACTGTTGCTTGACATGCATAAACCTATCATATATCTTGATAGCATATAACTGTTGCTTATCATATAAACCTATCATATATCTTGATAGCATATAACTGTTGCTTATCCTATAAACCTATCTTATATCTTGATAGCATATAACTGTTGCTTATCACATAAACCTATCATATATCTTGATAGCAAATAACTGTTGCTTATCATATAAACATATTATATATCTTGATAGCATATTACTGTTGCTTATCATATAAACCTATCATATATCTTGATAGCATATAACTGTTGCTTATCAGATAAACCTATCATATATCGTGACAGCATATAACTGATTCTTATCATATAAACATATTATATATATTGATAGCAAATAACTGTTGCTTGACATAAACCTTTCATATATCTTGATAGCATATAACTGTTGCTTATCAGATAAACCTATCATATATCTTGATAGCATATAGCTGTTGCTTATCAGATAAACCTATCATATATCGTGACAGCATATAACTGATGCTAATCATATAAACCTATTATATATCTTGATAGCAAATAACTGTTGCTTATCATATAAACATATTATATATCTTGATAGCATATTACTGTTGCTTATCATATAAACCTATCATATATCTTGATAGCATATAAATGTTGCTTATCAGATAAACCTATCATATATCTTGATAGCATATAACTGTTGTTTATCATATAAACCTTTCATATATCTTGATAGCATATAACTGTTGCTTGTCAGATAAACCTATCATATATATTGATAGCATATAACTGTGGCTTATCAGATAAACCTATCATATATATTGATACCATATAACTGTTGCTTATCAGATAAACCTATCATATATCTTGATAGCATATAGCTGTTGCTTGACATAAACCTATCATATATCTTGATAGCATATAACTGTTGCTTGTCAGATAAACCTATCATATATATTGATAGCAAATAACTGTTGCTTATCAGATAAACCTATCATATATCTTGATATCATATAACTGTTGCTTATCATAAAGACCTATCATATATCTTGATATCATATAACTGTTGCTTATCATAAAGACCTATCATATATCTTGATATCATATAACTGTTGCTTATCATAAAAACCTATCATATATCATGATAGCATATAAGTGTTGCTTATCATAAAAACCTATCATATATCATGATAGCATATAAGTGTTGCTTATCATAAAAACCTATCATATATCATGATAGCATATAAGTGTTGCTTATCGTCTAAACCTATCATATATCTTGATAGCAAATAACTGTTGCTTATCATATAAACATATTATATATCTTGATAGCATATTACTGTTGCTTATCATATAAACCTATCATATATCTTGATAGCATATAAATGTTGCTTATCATATAAACCTCTCATATATCTTGATAGCATATAACTGTTGCTTGTCAGATAAACCTATCATATATATTGATAGCAAATAACTGTTGCTTATCAGATAAACCTATCAAATATATTGATAGCATATAACTGTTGCTTATCAGATACACCTATCATATATATTGATAGATTATATAACTGTTGCTTATCAGATAAACCTATCATATAACTTGATAGAATATAACTGTTGCTTATCAGATAAACCTATCATACATCTTGATAGCATATAACTGTTGCTTATCATATAAACCTATCATATATCTTGATAGCAAATAACTGTTGCTTGACAAACCTTTCATATAGCTTGATAGCATATAGTTGTTGCTTATCAGATAAACCTATCATATATATTGATAGATTATATAACTGTTGCTTATCAGATAAACCTATCATATATCTTGATAGCATATAAATGTTGCTTATCAGATAAACCTATCATATATCTTGATAGCATATAAATGTTGCTTATCATATAAACCTCTCATATATCTTGATAGCATATAACTGTTGCTTGTCAGATAAACCTATCATATATATTGATAGCATACAACTGTTGCTTATCAGATAAACCTATCATGTATATTGATAGCATATACCTGTTGCTTATCAGATAAACCTATCATATATCTTGATAGCACATACCTGTTTCTTATCATATAAACCTATTATATATCTTGATAGCAAATAACTGTTGCTTATCATATAAACATATTATATATCTTGATAGCAAATAACTGTTGCTTATCATATAAACATATTATATATCTTGATAGCATATTACTGTTGCTTATCATATAAACCTATCATATATCTTGATAGCAAATAACTGTTGCTTATCATATAAACATATTATATATCTTGATAGCATATTACTGTTGCTTATCATATAAACCTATCATATATCTTGATAGCATATAGCTGTTGCTTGACATAAACCTATCATATATCTTGATAGCATATAGCTGTTGCTTGACATAAACCTATCATATATCTTGATAGCATATAGCTGTTGCTTGACATAAACCTATCATATATCTTGATAGCATATAAATGTTGCTTATCAGATAAACCTATCATATATCTTGATAGCATAGATAAACCTATCATATATCGTGACAGCATATAACTGATTCTTATCATATAAACATATTATATATATTGATAGCAAATAACTGTTGCTTGACATAATCCTTTCATATATCTTGATAGCATATAACTGTTGCTTGTCAGATAAACCTATCATATATATTGATAGCAAATAACTGTTGCTTATCAGATAAACCTATCATATATATTGATAGATTATATAACTGTTGCTTATCAGATAAACCTATCATATATATTGATATCATATAACTGTTGCTTATCAGATAAACCTATCATATATATTGATAGCATAAATTACACGGTTATATCTATAATCCTATGTGTGTTTATTCACATGTGTTTAATTGGATGGTACACGTATACTTATTTTGTATTCATACAATGTCTCGATCTATTTGAAGGAGAGAAAAATATTAGATTTTGTTGAAAAGCATACCAATGCCAAAAAACTGTAACTACCAATCGGAATCTTTTTTGATAACAAGATGAACATTTTAATAAATAAATCATTAACGAAGAAAAAAATGATAAACCTACAGTGTAAACAGTATTCCGTCTTTGCGTATTGCAGAATTATCTTCTCTTGTGAGCAGGTATTGATTGTTACGTTATTGGTTTGTGTGAGAAAATTACGTCGTGTCCTCAAAAATGGATGACGTTACTCTCACAAACAAATGACATAACAATCAATACCTGCTCACAAGAGCAGATAACTCTGCAATACGAAAAGTCGGAATATGGTACTTTGTATAATGCACTATTGCTTGATACATTGTAACATTGGGGGATACATTGTATGGAGTAAATTGTTAAGGTTCGTTGTATAGTGTAAAATTACATGGTGCAAATATACCTTTATACGTTATATTTTACCTTTCAATCATGGCGAATTATGTGTATACTAACAAATACACCTTAATTTGATATCAATGCAACATACATTCAATTTGACAAGGGTCATATAAAAACTATTCAAATCGTCCCTATGTTTGGAGAAAAAAATACTGTAATGAAAATAACATTTAGATTAATCTTGACTGCAAAGCACTCAAAAATACTTTAAAAACTGAATATCTTTCCTGACAGAAAAAGGGTTTCAATTCATGAGAACCACATCAAGGGTACACATTCATTCTAATTCTGAAGAATTGTAATTGTCTTACTGTTAATGCTGTTTGACTTGGTTAGCTTTTTACATGCCCAATTGTCCTTTGATTAAAAATAAAACCTATTTTCATTTGTATTGTCATATCTTTTCAGTTGATTGCAATGACCATTTCAATGTGCCTATGTAAGCAGGCCGGAGAGTGGAGCCACCGTGCGTAGAATACCTAGCTTCACATGGAACGAATGATTATGGATCTAGGTTATGTTCGACCGATATATTTTACACCTACATACATATATTTGATATGTCTGATTGATTCATTTAAACCTAGAAATATTTAGGTGAGTTGGTCCATAAATTTAAGATCTATCTATATTTGTGCATCAAAATCTAGTAATATTTGTGTTTGTTTAATATACTGCATACCGGTAAATTTTCCGCCCAGTCAAATTGTCGCCCCTTTAATAGTAGAAATCATTTGCGTGAAGCATTAATTTCGCCTTTGACATGTTTAAAAATATGATTTATATAATATTTAGGAATTTAAGTTTAATTTTCAAATAAACGAAGAAAAAATCGTTATATTTGATGGATGGATCAAGACATTTCAACTTTGGCTGTATGTTTGGAACAGTGAAGTGAATGGTTTGGAAATAGCTCTTTATTTGTGTATGTTTAAACCAACACCTAGGGCAGCTTTGCTATTGTATTATAGTGTACATTACTGTTGTATTAAGAGTTTTAAACATTTTGTTTTAAATTGACTTTTCCCACGATATTGCTTCCGTCTTTGCGTATTGCAGAGTTATCTTCTCTTGGGAGCAGGTATTGATTGTTACGTCACTTGTTTGTGAGAGTAAGGTCATCAATTTTTGAGAAAACGACGTAATTTTCTCAAACAAACCAATGACGTAACAATCAATCCCTGCTCCCAAGAGAGGATAACTCTGCAATACGCAAAGACGGAATTCACATTCATGTGTATTTGGATTCCTGATTAACACTTTGAAAGTCAAATTTGGTTACTGTGTAACATTGCATGTTATATATATGAGGAAAATAGAGGCCTTTGAAACGAATGGATGATGATTAGCTTTCATTGCAAATTGATATGAATTCTATACTAAGAGAGCCAATACAGCTTGCACATTGAAATGGAAATGAAGAACTTACTTCAATAATTACAATTTCATTTAGTTATTGCAGTCTTTGGTTTACATTTAAGTTTCATCAGGAACGCAGCATTCCAAAGATAATATGTGAACTTAACGATGTCACTCTTAAAGTAAGACTCATTTGATGATACGAGCATCTACTTAAAATGACCATTGCATTGTAAGCATTTGCATCCTTTGCTGCACATATTGAATACTCAGTGTGAGGCGTGTCTGCTGTATATAAACTGTATTTACAGTTAACACAGTTGCTATTCTTTGATGCTGTACAATGTTTCATGGTACAACGTTGTGTTCTTAACTCTGTTGTGAATGTTAATAAACTGTTTGACGTTATTATTTGTTGCTTATGTAATCATTCAAAATATATATGACATTAACATAAAGACACTTGTCCTCAGTAAGACTGTAGAAGGGCGGTAACCCAAAAACATTCTACAGCGAGTACGATGTTAAATAATTTGTGAAAACAATTGAAATGGACATTTTAGCAGTAAGCCTGAAACAATAATGAAAAATAGAATAAGAAAGCACCAATTTAAAAATGGGTTTTCAGTACAGTAAGCCAGACAAAGTAAACATCTATTCTTTATGATACGTTGTATGACGATTTATACGTAGATTAATGTATTAAAATGAGTTCTTGTTTTAATTAAAAAGATTTGATTTGCCCACAAATGGAACCTTGTCGAGCTGAAAACAGGGTTCTTCATGCAGTTGAACTTCGTTAGTCCGGTCACAAACCCTTTAACAAAAAAGAGAGGAAGTCCGTGTCAGTCTAATTTGATATAATAACTGTCGGTTAAATAAATAAATAAATATACAACATTCGATATAGCANTGTCAGTCTAATTTGATATAATAACTGTCGGTTAAATAAATAAATATACAACATTCGATATAGCATCCTATTAAAGCAATGAATACAATTAGCATATACATTAATCAATACAGTTTTGAGGAATTCGCAGTAGTTGCCTTATCAGGCGCTAACTACTAGTCCTCTACCACCTGGCTAATTTCTACCTATGTGTGAATGCCTGCGCGTGTGCTGGAGATGTTTTGTGTTCTTTTTGTAGTGGGAACGTACTTCCAACGGTATCATTTATAGTGCCACCTCACTTGAATGCCACAGCGCAGATACCGTAACATCCACCCCAGACTATTTCATATTCCACCTGGGTTGTGGGGAGGAGAAAATCACTTTCTCTGAATATTCCATGCGTACGATTACTTAGGGGATCAAACCCCGGCCGCCTGCTTGGAAGGCCGGAGTGTTAACCACTCGACCAATCCGCCCATAAATGCTTTGAGGATTTTCTTTACAAAAAAAGACAAACAAAACTATCTCCGAGGTAGGTATATATTGTCTAGTTGCTCCTCGTCATAACACTGGTTTGTTTATAAAACAGGAAATTACAAGAAAGAATGTTTGACGAAATTAATGATTCATCATAAGATAAAAAAAAAAAAAAAAAAAAAAATGTTTACATAAACAGAGGAACGCTTAAACCCAAATTGAAATCAAAGCATTATCACTTCTAACCATACATGCCAAATTAATGTCGCTTAACATCCCTAGACCCTTACTTCCTCATTGCGACAGCATATTGGGTAAAAAAATTGTAGAAAACGTAGCAAAGTAGCTTTTTTACTCTAATGAAATGCTACACAAGTTAAGAATTTTAAGTGAATATACCTCATTTAACTCAATTTTAAATGGCAATACTTTTTAGCAAGAAGGCTGGTAAATAACCTACTTAAATGTGAATGAGCGAATAAAGGCATACCTACCTGTCATGTGCACATTTGCAGTGCAGCAGTCACCGACAGGTAAACACAGATGTTGGGGGGTCACATGCCTGTAAACACACACTGTTGCTAGGAGGAAAATTAAACCCCGGTGCTTTAAAATGTACATATCACGTCAAGTATGCTTTGGATTCAGTCAAACAGGACGGGAATAGTTTGTATAACAATGTATGTAATCTAGACGCTGTCAAACAGGGGAGAAACTTAAAAGATTTCAAAAGGTTAATGGATCTTGGGTTTGAGCAGCACCGCTAATATTTCTTCCGTGTCACCTGGCATTTTACAACATTGGATAAACTAGAACAGTTCGCATACTACTTCAATAGTACCGTAGGGTACTTATATCAAATTACTCTCAAATAGTTCAAATATCATATCAGTAAGTTGGAAAGACTTTTATCATAAGAGGCTGAAGTAGGTTTATATATATTGATATATATACATTCGGATTATGAAACATTTCATTTGTTATTTCAATAGTGCTGAACTTACTTTATTTTCAAGTGTACTTTCTTTCGCAAACTGTGCCTGAAGGCCTTATTCATTAATACTTGAATTCTTGATCATGAGTATGCATATGTCTATGAAATAAATATTCGCGGAGGAAGTAAATTGGCAAATGAGTCCTCTTGCTGATGACCGCGAAAATTAATCTCTCGCGAAAATGAGATGATATACAGTAACAAAGAGTGTTTTTTGTTTTATATATATAAGGGTTATAGAACATTCTAAATGTGAAATCGATAGATTTAGATACTTTTATCATAGAGTTGTAAAACATTTTACGTATTACATCAATAGGACACTTTTAACATTTGAAAATGATATAGTTCCTTTAACAAATGACTATCGAACTTTCTACAATTTGCATCGATAATATAAAATATTTTCTATCAAATTACCACGGGCGAGTTAGTATGCTACGTTGACAGTAAAAGATTAATAGAATCTATTACGCTTGCAAGACTCAAGCTAAATTTCAAAAATCTTACCCAAGGATTTTGATTTTTTTTTTCTGTTACACAGGGGTGATTAATTCTTTTTCTCCCACACTTTCGAAACGAAAACATAAGTTGTAAAGGTAACCCAGTGCACTGCACAATCATCATGGGCGCATGAAATGTGTGTTGCAATTGATGACGGTCCCCTGGCAACACTGAATAAAGTGATGACGCGATGGTGATGTTTTCACAATAACAGCGCGTGTGAGCTGTCTTTTCCTAAGGTTAAGGTTAAGGACAGGTTGATCTTTTCCCTAGTAGAAGTGGGCACTCATATTTAACTGTGTGGGAGAAGCTGAGAGCTGTAGAGCAGTATATATATGATACATTACTTTTAGCAGTGCAAGAAATATCTCTCTACACTTCGAGGAGTAGGTGCGGAAGTTGGTGTGTGTGTTTGTTGTTGTTTAATTGTTTACTTTATGTTGCACTGTATATATGCACAGCTGATGAGCTGCTGTAAAGCTTAGGGGAAAAAATCTTGCACATAAATAGAACAATTGTATTAATGAAGAAAACAATTGTTAAAATTTCAAGAAACTATTTCGTGAATAAAAGTGTCAATATTAACAGAAAACTACTTTTTTCGCCCAGTAACTTCGGGCCAAGCAGGGTTTAATGTATTTCTATTTGTTTATCAGGGTGCACATGTATGAACACCTTTTTAACACTATATTTTAAACCTGTTGCCAAAATGGTATACTATCAAGTTAAGAAAAGAAAACAAGATGTGCAAGTGCATTAAATATTGATAAATTTGAGCGTTAAAACTGCAAACAAGGCATTATCAGCCATTAATGCGTCAAAACCGTAGTGATGTAGACGTTGTGATCTGATGGACGGGTAGAGATAAGTCGCTTAGATCCTGTTAAGCATTGTCATCTTAACACCAGGTACTGTAACATAGTTATATAGACTTTTACTGGATGTTTGTGTAATTAAGTTAATATAAATTAAAATACAAAATCATTTAATCAAATTTATTGTTTAATTGTACAAAAATAAGCTCATAATATATATTTATTGACACAGTATTTGACCAGACAGCTTATTACAAGGTAGACATACCGTGATCGCCCTCCCTGGTATATATATATATATATATATATATATATATATTATACTTACCGGTGTATGTAGCAGGCCGTTGGACACCTGTGGGTCTGATTAACGGCCGGGATAACATGCTACCCGGCCGCAAACCTCTCAGACGGTAATTATACCTGGATTACGATTGCAGTCTGTGGGGATGTAGAATATTCCATTATAATTAACGTTACAATTCTTCAATACAGGTCTTGCTGTACAGATAGATGTTGATGCTGATTATTGGGTCTTAGTGTGATTTACTATGTGATACTGCCCTGTAGATATTTACACAGGCTAACATCCATGGTTGGGATCTACCCGATGATCTGCTCCAAGAAGTCTACCTGACAAGTGACGATGGCTGAATGCTGCCCATTCCCCTATGTCAAGGGCTCTTTGATTGCTTTCAACGTTATTTTCTGGGTAAGTAATGCAGAAAAACAACGTGATTTGCTTTTAAGAATTAATTGTCTCAGAAAATAATATTATATAATAATCTATTTGACCTAATAAACATAATCTTAAAAGATACAGTTTTGTTGAATAATATAATTTTCATTTTCCTTATTATCACATCCATCATATATTGTGTTATGACCGGGAGAGAAAGGATTTAAACAGATTGAGCTTTTCTATCATTGAAACTAAACAATTTATTTGTACTCTTGAGTGAAAATTAGCCCGAAATGATAAAAATTCAGCCAGTGGTACATTTAAATTTGTGTTATGGGTGGAGAACTATTGTGTCTAGATTATCACAAGTCAAGTCACATAATATCATATGGAACACGAATGACCCAATCATCTGTCAACATCGTTTTAAACAAACCAACAAATACTGAAATACCATATACAGTTTCTCGTATATCACAGGAATTAAGATAATTGTCAGGAAAACGACAGCTCAGATAAAACAAGACAGATCAAATAAAAACCAACTTTTCAATGATGTGATTTAATTCCTCTTACATATTAATTATAATCTTTCGGAGTCACATGGGGCGAGTCTCCAAACAATGAGATGTGTCGGTTGAGATGGTGGTGACAGATGACTGATTGGTTTCTAATAGATGTTTTCCGGTTCGTAGAAAGATTGTTTTTAATAAAAATGATGAATGATTACAATTATTTGACCGAGATTTATTTATCTGTTCAAACTTTATTTGTAATTTATTACCGTCGATTGCGTAATGACAAAGTTATTAGGTGAGCCGTGTGTGAGTAGTCTTGGAGTTTGAAGTGTCGAGTGCATGTGCATATCTAACAACTTCCGCATGCATCCATTTTAAACCGATAGAATAAGTCCACAATGTCTAAATCGTCATACAAGAAAAGTGTATGTAGGTGGATACGGAATGTTGATGTCATGAAATGAAAACAAAACATAACGAGAAAAAATATTTGAAAAAGGTAATTTAATACATTGCCATATCTAGGCAATGTTTTACTTATGCATTAGGGTTGATACCTGGACACATTTGATACGTTTGTATTTTATGGTTAGAAAAACAAAATTCAGGTCGACGCGTTAGTTGTTTGTCTGAAGTTTCTCACCTTTGACATGAACTTAAAATCTCTCTAATTTTGCGTGTATTATATATTTTATATTACTTCTTTAGNAGAGAGAAATTGGTCGGTAATTTAAGGGAGAATGTCTATCACCTTTCTTTCCTTATAGTGTAACTTTCGTTCGCAACTTTTATCTTAAATATATAAATTCCCGGAAGACGTAAGCTCCTCAAATGGGTCTCCTCGCAAATTAAAACGAAACATTTATCTCTATTTGAAACAAAATGATTAACAACAGTCTACCATAATAAACGCGCAAATGTTTATCGATAAATATTTTATTCGATAAGTACGTATATTTATATGCATTTAAAAGTTATAAATTATATTCCGTTCTGTTTTACGCATGAATATTCACAACAAATACAGCTATTGACGGATAAAATAACTTTAATTGATACCATTGAGTATTCTGTCTTATATATATATATCTAAATATGTTTTTTAAAGCTGACTTGTCATTGCAGTAGGTCTTGTGCCTTAACGTCAGAGAAATCAAGTACTATCATTCTAGATAGCTTAGTTGTGTAAACATAGTGCTATACTCTGAGACCACCTGTTCAAAGATACCTCATTCACTGAATCTTAGGCACCTACTTGGGCGCGTGCATATTTATAGTAATGTATCTTACATCAGATTTCGGGGCGAAGATTAACGTAATAAAATTCATCCCAGATAACGCTGGTCTCGCCATCAATATGTTGAGGTTATATGTAAGCATAACACAATGGTCCCAGGTAATGTTTTCAGAACCCTGTTGGGTTGATGTTTCACCTTACACCTGTAGGTGTGTGTAATATAGAGCACAGGTTGACCTCGGTCAAAGGTCAACCTTGTTTTACATTTTCTTGTTGATGCTATTTTTGTCAATTACTTTGTATATAATTATGTGACGTACAGCGTAAGGTGTTATACGGGGCGGGGGTTTGGCTCTGTGTGTCGTTTTAAAGTAGTGTATGAAGTTTATTTAAAGTGTAATTGGTAGTGATGTAAGTTTGTTCATGAATTCAGCATATTAACGAATTGTTGCCGAGACAGATTTATATACAGAAATGTTTCCTGCATGCATTACGATACATCTATGAATAGGAGGTACTGTAACTACTTTACCTCATGTTCTTGCAATGTTTTAAACACACAGGCTCAATGTTTTTCGATACTGATACAAAGGTCTAAATCAATATAATTTCTACCTTACCTGTGCTTTTAAGAATCTAAATATCGCGAGAACCGCGCAAGGTCATTTAAAGTTGTCGTATACATAACGTTACGATAGCGATGGATGGAGGTTGGATTACGCAGGTGGGGTGCTATGTCCAGTAATCTTGTTGATGGGGCAGTAACCTTAAATTGTAGGTGGGATGTTAGCGTCATTCACTTAAAATTGTAGGTGGGGTGTTTGCGTCAGTAACCTTAAATTGTAGATGGGGTGTTAGCGTCAGTAACCTTAAATTGTAGATGGGGTTTTAGCGTCAGTAACCTTAAATTGTAGGTGGGGTGTAAGCGTCAGTAACGTTAAATTGTAGATGGGGTGTTAGCGTCAGTAGCCTTAAATTGTAGATGGGGTGTTAGCGTCAGTAGCGTCAGTAACCTTAAATTTGTAGGTGGGGTGTTTGCGTCAGTAACCTTAAATTGTAGATGGGGTGTTAGCGTCAATAGCGTCAGTAACCTTAAATGTGTAGGTGGGTGTTAGCGTCAGTAACCTTAAATTGTAGGTGGGGTGTAAGTGTCAGTAACGTTAAATTGTAGATGGGGTGTTAGCGTCAGTAGCCTTAAATTGTAGATGGGGTGTTAGCGTCAGTAGCGTCAGTAACCTTAAATGTGTAGGTGGGGTGTTAGCGTCAGTAACCTTAAATTGTAGATGGGGCGTTAGCGTCAGTAGCGTCAGTAACCTTAAATTTGTAGGTGGGGTGTTAGCGTCAGTAACCTTAAAATTGTAGATGGGGTGTTAGCGTCAGTAACCTTGAATTGTAGGTGGGGTGTTAGCGTCAGTAACCTTAAAATTGTAGATGGGGTGTTAGCGTCAGTAACCTTTAATTGTAGATGGGGTGTTAGCGTCAGTAACCTTTAATTGTAGATGGGGTGTTAGCGTCAGTAACCTTTAATTGTAGATGGGGTGTTAGCGTTAGTAACCTTAAATTGTAGATGGGGTGTTAGCGTCAATAGCGTCAGTAACCTTAAATGTGTAGGTGGGTGTTAGAGTCAGTAACCTTAAATTGTAGGTGGGGTGTAAGCGTCAGTAACCTTAAAATTATAGATGGGGTGTTAGCTTCAGTAACCTTAAATTGTAGGTGGGGTGTTAGCGTCAGTAACCTTAAATTGTAGATGGGGCGTTAGCGTCAGTAGCGTCAGTAACCTTAAATTTGGAGGTGGGGGGTTAGCGTCAGTAACCTTAAATTGTAGATGGGGCGTTAGCGTCAGTAGCGTCAGTAACCTTAAATTTGTAGTTGGGGTGTTTGCGTCAGTAACCTTAAATTGTAGATGGGGTGTTAGCGTCAATAGCGTCAGTAACCTTAAATGTGTAGGTGGGTGTTAGAGTCAGTAACCTTAAATTGTAGGTGGGGTGTAAGCGTCAGTAACGTTAAATTGTAGATGGGGTGTTAGCGTCAGTAGCCTCAGTAACCTTAAATGTGTAGGTGGGTGTTAGCGTCAGTAACCTTAAATTGTAGGTGGGGTGTAAGCGTCAGTAACGTTAAATTGTAGATGGGGTGTTAGCGTCAGTAGCGTCAGTAACCTTAAATGTGTAGGTGGGTGTTAGCGTCAGTAACCTTAAATTGTAGGTGGGGTGTAAGCGTCAGTAACGTTAAATTGTGGATGGGGTGTTAGCGTCAGTAACCTTAAATTGTAGATGGGGTGTTAGCGTCAGTAGCCTTAAATTGTAGATGGGGTGTTTGCGCCAGTAACCTTAAAATTATAGATGGGGTGTTAGCTTCAGTAACCTTAAATTGTAGGTGGGGTGTTAGCGTCAGTAACCTTAAAATTGTAGATGGGGTGTTAGCGTCAGTAGCCTTAAATTGTAGATGGGGTGTTAGCGTCAATAGCGTCAGTAACCTTAAATGTGTAGGTGGGTGTTAGCGTCAGTAACCTTAAATTGTAGATGGAGTGTTAGCGTCAGTAACCTTTAATTGTAGATGGGGTGTTAGCGTCAGTAATCTTAAATTATAGATGGGGTGTTAGCGTCAGTAGCGTCAGTAACCTTAAATTGTAGATCGGGTGTTAGCGTTAGTAACCTTAAATTGTAGATGGAGTGTTAGCGTCAGTAACCTTTAATTGTAGATGGGGTGTAAGCGTCAGTAATCTTAAATTATAGATGGGGTGTTAGCGTCAGTAGCGTCAGTAACTTTAAATGTGTACGTGGGTGTTAGCGTCAGTAACCTTAAATTGTAGGGGGGGTGTTAGCGTCAGTAACGTTAAATTGTGGATGGGGTGTTAGCGTCAGTAATCTTAAATTAGAGATGGGGTGTTAGCGTCAGTAGCGTCAGTAACCTTAAATTGTAGATCGGGTGTTAGCGTTAGTAACCTTAAATTGTAGATGGGGTGTTAGCGTCAGTAGCGTCAGTAACTTTAAATGTGTAGGTGGGTGTTAGCGTCAGTAACCTTAAATTGTAGGTGGGGTGTTAGCGTCAGTAACCTTAAATTGTAGATGGGGTCTTAGCGTCAGTAGCCTTAAATTGTAGATGGGGTATTAGCGTCAGTAGCCTTAAATTGTAGATGGGGTATTAGCGTCAGTAGCCTTAAATTGTAGATGGGGTATTAGCGTCAGTAGCCTTAAATTGTAGATGGGGTATTAGCGTCAGTAGCCTTAAATTGTAGATGGGGTGTTAGCGTCAGTAAACTTAAATTGTAGATGGAGTGTTAGCGTCAGTAACCTTAAATTGTAGGTGGGGGGTTAGCGTCAGTAACCTTAAAATTGTAGATGGGGTTTTAGCGTCAGTAACCTTAAATTGTAGGTGGGGTGTTAGCGTCAGTAACCATAAATTGTAGATGGAGTGTTAGCGTCAGTAACCTTTAATTGTAGATGGGGCGTTAGCGTCAGTAACCTTAAATTGTAGGTGGGGTGTTAGCGTCAGTAACCATAAATTGTAGATGGAGTGTTAGCGTCAGTAACCTTTAATTGTAGATGGGGCGTTAGCGTCAGTAACCTTAAATTGCAGATGGGGTGTTAGCGTCAGTAACCTTAAATTGCAGATGGGGGGTTAGCGTCAGTAACCTTAAATTGTAGATGGGGAGTTAGCGTCAGTAACCTTAAATTGTAGATGGGGTGGTAGCGTCAGTAGCCTTAAATTGTAGCTGGGGTGTTAGCGTCAGTAACCTTAAATTGTAGGCGGGGTGTTAGCGTCAGTAACCTTAAATTGTAGGGGGGGTGTTAGCGTCAGTAACCTTAAAATTGTAGATGGGGTTTTAGCGTCAGTACCCTTAAATTGTAGGTGGGGTGTTAGCGTCAGTAACCATAAATTGTAGATGGAGTGTTAGCGTCAGTAACCTTTAATTGTAGATGGGGTGTTAGCGTCAGTAATCTTAAATTATAGATGGGGTGTTAGCGTCAGTAGCGTCAGTAACCTTAAATTTGTAGGTGGGGTGTGAGCGTCAGTAACCTTAAATTGTAGATGGGGTGTTAGCGTCAGTAAACTTAAATTGTAGATGGAGTGTTAGCGTCAGTAACCTTTAATTGTAGATGGGGTGTTAGCGTCAGTAATCTTAAATTATAGATGGGGTGTTAGCGTCAGTAGCGTCAGTAAACTTAAATTTGTAGGTGGGGTGTTAGCGTCAGTAACCTTAAAATTGTAGATGGGATTTTAGCGTCAGTAACCTTAAATTGTAGGTGGGGTGTTAGCGTTAGTAACCTTAAATTGTAGATGGAGTGTTAGCGTCAGTAACCTTTAATTGTAGATGGGGCGTTAGCGTCAGTAACCTTAAATTGTAGGTGGGGTGTAAGTGTCAGTAACGTTAAATTGTAGATGGGGTGTTAGCCTCAGTAGCGTCAGTAACCTTAAATTTGTAGGTGGGGGGTTAGCGTCAGTAACCTTAAAATTGTAGATGGGGTGTTAGCTTCAGTAACCTTAAATTGTAGGTGGGGTGTTAGCGTTAGTAACCTTAAATTGTAGATGGGGTGTTAGCGTCAGTATCCTTGAATTGTAGGTGGGGTGTTAGCGTCAGTAACCTTAAATTGTAGATGTTGTGTTAGCGTCAGTAGCCTTAAATTGTAGATGGGGTGTTTGCGTCAGTAACCTTAAATTGTAGATGTTGGGTTAGCGTCAGTAGCCTTAAATTGTAGATGGGGTGTTTGCGTCAGTAACCTTAAAATTATAGATGGGGTGTTAGCGTCAGTAACCTGAAAATTGTAGGTGGGGTGTTAGCGTCAGTAACCTTAAAATTGTAGATGGGGTGTTAGCGTCAGTAACCTTAAAATGTAGATGGGGTGTCATTTAAGTCATTTAACATTGTATGTGGGGTAAATGGTCAGTAACTTTAAAATTGTAGATGGGGTGTTAGGCTCAGTAAGCTTTATGTTTTATGTCTAGGAGCCTTGTAGGTTTGGCGTAGGCAAAGACATCCTGAAAGTGGGGATGTTAGGACCAACTGTTTAGTAGGTAGGGTTTCCGTAACCACTGGGTATCTTGGTGGTAAGGGTTTAAATCCCAGCAAGAAGGTGGTATTCTGCCCATGGACCTTGTAGCTACTTGCTTATAAAGTAATGACTTGGTTAACCAGAGTTGGAATACTAAAATATTTAATGTGAATAATGTATCACGTAAATGGAATAATATGTGTAACCTTTCAAATAATTGAGATTTTTTTTTGTCATACTTTGGTTGTAACTCTGCCATGTACATGACCTCTGTGATGTAGTTGGTTACAAGTGTTTATATCTTGACCGAATTTTTTTAATAACGACTTTAAGGGCTTATATGACGTTTTTGTTGTAAAAACTGTCCAGGGATAACGTTCCTTGATTTATATTTATATCAACTTAATTGTTTATCTTATACCTGCATTTGATTATTTTATTTTTAACTTTGGTTGTTAAAAATTACCATCCCTTCTGGGTCATTGTATATGAATTATCTATTTGCATTTTGATAAATTTCAACTTGAAATTATTCAGTATTACTGTGTCTTTTTTTGGTGTGCCAGAAATTAATAAAGGTGATTTAAAAGCAATATAATGAGTGAATATAACATATCTGATGTCTTTTTATAACAACTATACCCCCCCCACACACACACACATACCACACACACCACACACACACACACACACACACACACACACACACCACACACACTGTCTGTTTGCTTGTTGACTTTAGCTTTATGCATATGTTAAATCCTTGTATTTTGGTTTGTGTATGCTTTATTGTCCACATTTAACTGTTGTTTATTTCTTGTCACAGTATCATATTTTCATTTATGTATTTATTCTGTCGTGCAGTTTTCTGGACCAGCTGTACTTGGACTGTCTATTTGGTTTTATCTCACGGTAAATATGTACAGTCCTGTCCTTGATATGACGTCATACAATACCCAGTCCTACGTCATGATTGCTGCTGGAGGCGCCTGTATCGTTTGTGGTATATGTGGCTGCTTAGGTGGTGTCAACGAAAATAAATTGCTTGTCTGCTTTGTAAGTATGTATTTCATTCAGTCAGTAGTATGTTAGAAAGTACGTGTATACACAAAATATGTTGTGTTTGGATAAATACATTCGTGCACAGCATCAATAATTTGAGAATATATTCCACAATATTTATAAATCTTTACCTTCAATTATTCAGATTTGTTAATCTTAACATTTCGTTATCGAATGGAATGAGTCATGTTGTAAATAATGTATAGTTGTAACTTCTTAATATTTCCCAAATTAGTAACTTGACCTAATATTTCATCAGTTAAGACACTTTTAAGATCAGTGTCACTTTACTTTAAACGATGTGTAATGTATATTTGGTATATTACATTTGACCCACATGAATAAATTTAAAAGCAACGACTCAAGCGATTTATTCAAGCACCATAGTTGTGAAATCATTTTGGAAAATTCCAGTATATATTAAACATGATGTCAACAGTTTTAAATCACTTGTCCCTTAAACAATGCCATTTGTTCACCAATATGTATATATATATATATATATATATATATATATATAATAAAAAGGGATTAAATATATATATATGGCATGGATATATAGCTTCTGTCAGTGTGTTTAATTAAACGGAGATTTTTTGTTTTTCAAAACAATCGTGACAATTTTGTCTTCATATGAAATAGATTTGAATTCAATTAATTCCTTAAATGTGTGTATTATAAAAAAAAAATAACGCTTCCGGTTCAGCACGTGCCGGTTCTCATAATCTAAGGGTTGGAAGATAAATCACTTATGGATAAATCAGGATATAAATGTCTGATGGTAGAATAGAGACATATATTATACACTTTATACCTGTTCTTAAATACTCACTGACAATAGTGTTAACATTTATAATACCATTCATGTAAAAATATTTGCAAGTTGTTTTAACCACCATAAGTTAGGCATTTGCAATTTAAGCATTAGGCAATAAGGCAATTGTAGGCATATCAAGGTTTTATTTTCATGAAATAATGACGTTTATTCAGAAAACAATGTTGAAGTGTTGAAGCTGTCAGGTTGTAACACGTTTGTAATTCAATAACGGATTCAATTAAGATATTTCTTCATAGCACCTGAAAAGTTAATATGGATTCAAAATATATCAATATTACCATTTTACGAATTATATCGAAAAGATTACTTAAAATCTAGGCGAAAAAAGCTAACTGTTTGATTTTGAAGGCGCATATTCGTTCCGCATTAAGTTATATGTTAAACTTCGCTGTATTAGGAAATAATTATACATACCTGTATATTATTCATTTGAGGTCTACATAACACATTTTCAAAAACACATTCAATGGAACATGTTATGAATACAAAATTGTCACAGTGACCCCCATACCTTCTACATAAAGTCCATACGCTAATGTAATAAGAGACATTGACAAGTCTAACATTGACACATGTAATCATGAAGACTCACGTAAACGTATTGTACAATTCTGTGTTCTAGTTCAGCTTTTCCCTTGTTGTGATATTTGGATGTCAGCTATACACGTGCGTCGCTTCCTTCTATATTTATGACAAGGTGAGTCACCGACGTCATTAATATATCTTATGTCAGTTCGCGAGTGCCAGCCACGCATAAGTCAAGTGGTGATTAATGAGGCCATATAATTGCACTCAGACCTGTATACCTTAATGCACACTCTAAAGGTAACAGTTTATTCCTTCTATTGTGTACGATATTTTGGTTGACTAGTTCCTCTAAAAGGCTTTCTATGATATTATTCACTTTATGATAAATCATGTGTTCTTTTGTTCTACTTCATGTATTTTTTTCTTTTTATAATTTTTTCTTTTTCAAGCATTATATTACATTCTTCATGTAATTTTATTCATTGTGAGATAAAGACGCTTTCATTGTTACTCAAGTCCCCAAACTGTCCCGATAGTTACAAACGATGCATCAGAAAGAGCTTTCAATGTAATGATCCATAAAGTTAAACCTCGTTATACTGTCACTATTTTGGCGTTATAAAGGGGTTGGCGGTAATACGAGGTAACATATAACACCTTTTTTTTTAAAGAAAAGTAGAAAAGGGGATATTGAAATGTGTGAAGTGAGTGAAGGAGCAAATGAAACGAGGAGCATTATATTGAAGTTATACTATCAAATAAAAATATATGGATTGACCGTTGGTATCACCTTGGCGTACACCAATAAACGCGCCAACCAATCAGCGGCCACGGAACCCGTGTTTGTTAACCAATCAGATCATGAAGCGCATTATGCACATCTACATATGCCTATCAAGGCTGATGTGAAGTGTCAAAAGTATCCGGAAGGTAGTCTCTAAGAAAACCCTCGGGAACTATTTGGCGAAATCATTGTAAGAAAAGTAATATTATAAAAGGCAGCCAAAGAAAAAGGTCCCCAACTGTGTTTGGGGGACTTAGCTGTGTGTTACTTTGTTCGTGCTTATATTGTGTTCGTGTATTAGCCTTATTTGCATATAATCTAAGAGACAAATCACAGTTGTGGGCTATTATTATCTACTAACAACAGCTATAATTAGCGTCATTATGTTAATTTTTCATTGAAATGGCACACTCAGCTGATAAATTATTGTTAAGCTCTGGATGTGGTTTGTTATAGATAATAAATTTCTCAAACCACAATCATGTGTCATTTTTCAAATAACTGTCATATGTATTTTTAATTTAACCACAAAATTACCGTGTACTGCTTTTGCTCTTAAGTCTTACTTGTTCAGTGGTTTACAATGGTGCCGTGTCGTTAAACGATAGCGCTTTAGCGTCTTAATAACTCCTCAGGTATGCAAATTTAAACAATTAATACATGGTCCATATTATAGTCTCAAGAAATATAAAGCAAGGAAACGCTTATTTAAAATTTGAGTAAGTTGATGCATAAAGCTAAACCAAGTTACATTTTTACTGTACATTTAAGGCCATATATTGGGAAAAAGACTGGATTAAACGACTAATTTGGATACTGAGTCATTAAATATATCCAGCTTTTTGAAACATTATTATTGAATTAAGATAATTACAAATACAGTTAGTATCTTGTTGAGTGGATATAACTAAATATGATGAAGCTTATTCTATATAGAAAAATCAGGACGTTTTTAACTTTATTTAAACAATAACTGGTTGTCTGGATGTAATTATTGTTGATATAATTACAAGTGGCCTCTGGCAAATTCCATAAAACCCGCTAGGATTTTATGGTAGATTTGCCAGAGGCCACTTGTAAGTATGTCAACAATA